GCCTTGGCCTTGGCATTCGGCTTCGCTGGAGCTGCCTTTGCTTCGGATTTGGCTTTAGCTTTTGCCTTTGGTTCCGGAGCTGGGGTAGCTGCTGCCTCATGCTTGAAAGGACAATTCTCTCTTGAGCACGAGCCTGTGTTCTTGAACGAGTAGCATATCCTATTTCCTCCTCCTCCAGACGGACTTGGAGTTCTCGTCCTCGGCGTAAAGGGTCGCTCTGGAGTCTTCTTCGAGTGACTGAATGGGCACTTGTCACCATTTCGACACCCTGCATCTGTGAAATGGAACTTGCAGCGGATTTGCTTCTTGCTCTTGTCGCCTCTGTTGTCCGCTGACTCACTCCTCGTCTTCTTCTTGGGCTTTGGCTTGGTCTTCGCATGACTCTTCGCTTTGCTTTGAGGTAGTACAGGTGTTGCTTTATCCGGCTTGGTCGGCGAAGCCTTGACCTTTGCGGATGGAGCTGCGTTAGGCGTTGGTTTCTCAGGTACCTTGGCCGGTGCAGCGAGCAAATCCTTGCCCTCAAGCATCTGGCGCAAGCCAATTTGGGTCTGAGTGAGATTTGATTGTTCTCGTCTCCGCATGATGGTACGGTCGATGATCTTCATCAGATTGTCGTACGATCGGTCTTCATGATTGTAGGGCAAGTGTTCGTAGTGCATGCCCAACTCCATCTTCATTGCGGGCGAGTCCTTGATCTTGCTGTACAAGCAATCACGGAGAGCTGTTTTGGATGGTATGTCTTCTGGCCTCATCCGTCCCAGAACTTCCAACCACGTCTGCTTGAACGTATGAAGTTTGTTGTCGCCTTGGTACTGGAGCTTCACCAGATACTCGAGAGTGATGATCATGTCGAGACGATCGTGCGTTCGAAAACTTTCATACATCATCGCAATGATTTGTCGTCCTTTGATGATCTTCCCTTCGGGCCTGCTGATGTAATCGTTGGCCTTCCGGTTCACCTCCAGGTACAGATCAGCAGATTTGTCACCACCAGCGCGTAGCATTGCGACCATGGCGATCCCCAATTTGACGTCTACGCTCTTGAACTTCTTGTGTCCCGAATCGTTCAGTGCTTCGACATCAGGGAATGGATTGAACGCTGGTGCCAGCCATAACATCCAGTCCTCATGATTTGGGTCGGCTGATGCTCCTAAGACATTCGCCGTGCATACGGATCGCCAGTTGTTGAGGTGAGTGAGAGTAGGCCATGGAGGAACGGTCACTTTATCGGCTTCCCTCCTGGAAATTCTCACCTCTGTGACTTCAGGATCTGCGTCTCCATCAGGATCACGCGCATGAGGGTCAGGATCCGGGTCAGGTTTGCCTCCACCGCTTCTCTTCTTATCATCATCGTCATCATCAGGCGGATCTGGAGGATCATACCCCGTGCCGGTTCCTTCATCATGCTCTCCCTCTCCGTTCTCGTCGCCAGCTTCATCACCGTCATCGTCTCCATTGTCTTCCTGAATCGTTTCAGCAAATAATCTCCACTCATCACGATCAGCTCTGAGACGCTGTTCGGCTTTCTGGGCCTTGAGTACTTCGCTTCGCAGATCGGCAATCTTCTCTTCGTACCGTTCCGCGACCTCTTTCTCGATCTGACGCCTCCTTGCCTCATGGATGGAATCGTCATAGGCGACAGGGGCACCAATGAGGTCGTTGCCCTTTGTAGATGCGATAATGCCGTCGATACCAACAGGTCTTGAGGAGCTGGCAGATGCTGTGGACTTCGATCCCAACATCCCGCGATCCTCCAAGAGTTCACGTAGCTGTCGATCACGCACGGCTGCCGCATCACTTTGCCCATGAAATCCGCTTGGTATGCCAAACAGAGTGGCTGCACTAGGCGTGGAACGCGCATGTGCTGGGCTGCTAATACCTGGCACGTAGTGCTCGGGCATTGCATCCGCCACGATTGGCGTTGAATAGGATTTATTCACCTCACCTTTAATGCGGCCAGTGAAGAAGTTTCCACCGGTAAATGGAATTCCATCCATCGCAAGGTTCTTGTCCTTGTCCGATTCCGAGAATGCGAACTTCTCTTTGGCGACTGGACTAACTTGACTTGGGGACCGTATTTCAGGGGATCGTACCTCACCTCCTACGGAAAATGCAGGCACTACTTCCTTTCCTACGTGCTCCCAGCCAGACTCAGTAGTCCTCGAAGACATGGGCATGCTCGAAGGCCGTGTCACTCCGCCATGGTAGTTGGAGTTCCGTGCTGCCTCCAATTCGCTGCGTGTCCTCGCTTGAAGATCTTCTTGTGCTTTGAGTGTTTTCCTGAGTTCACTCAGCTCATCGTGCAAGGTAGGCAATGCGCGCCTTGCATGATCTTCATTCTGATGAAGTCGGTCCTCTGCATCTTGCATCCTCCTCACAGCCATTTTGCGGTACTCTTCCTCTTCACCAAGACGTTCGCGAAGCCGAAGTCGTTCTTGATCAATGGCTGCGCTGTTCCCAGCTAGCCCTTGGATCTCGTTCACGGCCCGCAACTCCTGATTCTTGACCAAGTGGAATCGTTCCTGCATTGCTTGTAAGGCTTGTTCCGAACTTGCTGTGTTCGACCGGAGGAACAAGTTCTCTCTGGCTTGTTCATGAAGTTCATGAGTCAGATGCTCATACTCACGTGCCATAAGCTCACCATCGCCTTGCGCTCTTGCCTCCAACTGCACAAAGTTAGTGGCTGCTTCCGTGCGAAACACGTGTAGCTGCTGAGCCAACTCCTCGGCAACGGCGTGTGCTTGACGTTGTTGAGCAGAGTTCTGTTCATCCATGCGAAACAAAGCTGCTTCATAGTCTCGCTTCATCTCCTGATTGACATTGTTGATGTGCCTCATGGCTAAGCATGCATGGTCACGTTGTCGTTCCAATTCTTCGATGCGAATCCCAGATCCTTCATCTTCTTGTTGCATCTCCTTGATCTTATCCATCAGGGTCTGGACAACTCCTTCGTACTCTTGCATCTGACTGCGATAGTACATCTGCTGCGCAAGGTTCGATGCTTCGAACTGTTGCGAAATCGTCAGTTCCTGATAGGCATTCGGACCATCGGCTATGGCTGGCGTGGTCACCGATGACGCATCACCACGTGCAGGAATAGTGTCCAGAGTCATATCCAGATCGTCAGCATCGCGTGGTTGATTGGTAACCATCCGATTCCATGTCATGGACTTGTCACGCCCACGAGTAGCCGAAGTCCTTGATCGTGCTGAAGAGCTTCTCGAAGATGATGGTCTCGACTTCTTTTCCAAGGTCTTCACTCCCTTGTCCTTGGCCCTGGACGTAGTCCGAGGTGCCTGAAAACCAGACGCTTCGGCTCGTCGTTCTGGAGCCTTGCCCGTCCTCGAACCTGTGGATGTCGGACGCGAAGGCGTAGATGCTCTTGGTAGACTCTTTGCTTTCACCTTGGGAACTGCCTTTGCAATGGCAAGCGCAGAAGATTGACCTTTGTCATCTTCCGTGGAGCTATCAACGGATTGCACCACTGTGTCATCAGCTGTTGACTCACCAACGGCTGGCGCTGCCACATCGGCACCGAAAGTCATTGTCGTATCTTGGCTTGATCCCGAGTTCATTGTGGTCGTAGTAGATCAAGTAGTCGTTGCTGCAGAAAGGCAGAGCCGCGTACGGCTGATAACCTGCGTGGGGATTTGATCTCGATTATGTTGCTGCTCTCCCCACCAGAGCTGTAATGAATATAGGTGTGGCTGGCTTGCACTCTCCACAGACTGGGACCCTGTCTCTCTCACACTTCCACACGTGCAATCCTATGCAGGCAGAACCGGCGGCCGTTCCTTTTGCACTCGCTGCCGGCGGCGGTTCGTCTGTGTACGGGATAGCTCCGATTGCTCAGGATAGAAGACACATATAGCACTTAGCTATGGGCATTGACTTGAGCCAAGCGTTGCGTGGGCGGTCACATAGAAAGGTAAGGAGAAGCGATGCGGTGTGCGTAGCACGTCCACAAGCTTACTCCTAGAGTCGAGGGACGCGTAGCGTGCCCCCTTCTCTTGCACTCTACACGGTCTTGCTCACAGCTCTTATAGTGACACCTTAGAACTTGACAAGGCATCGCAGTCCGTTCGCATATATATATATATATATATGGATATGGATATATATCCAGCAAGTACTTCAACTGCTTCGGGCGGCACCTGCTTCGGTTGGCGAACATCCAACAAGCCCAGCTGCCGGTCAAAGGCTGCAGTGAGAAGCACGGCTTGCTCGGTTGGATGCCACCTTCGCTTCCGAGGTATTAGCCATGCGCATGCGATGCACCCGTGATCTGACACCGGCCTCACGCACTGCACCTGCGACAGAGACGACGGTGAGCGTGGGTGAAGTTTAAGATTATTCGCTCAGAAGCGTCACCTTGTCGGAGTGATGCTCGAAAGTATGCGCGCAAGAACCATCAGTGACGTCCCACACCTGTGGCACACGCAATGGGATGCCTCAAGCACTCTTTGCACACGTCTCTGGTGTTGAACTGGCCTTGAGCGTTTCATCAGCTGATCCACTCGCAAGTACCTCTATGCATCACTTCGCAGCCCTCCCTTCCCCCCTGTTTTGCTGCCCAGCCACAGAGGGGTTGAAAGCACTGGCATGCAAGCATAGCACCTTATGCGGCAAACGAGCCCTTCTTAGGGCCTGTGTGGAGTCTACACCACAAGTGCTAAGGCAGCGTGCTGGCCCGTCATGTGCCTACCATGTAAACTCTCAGTAGGCAACAGAGGGTGGTGGCTACCGCTACCGACAGCCTTCACCTCATTCGGACCCAAGGGCTTCTTCTTTCTTTTTGCCTTCCCCTTGGCTTTGGCGGGCTTGCGTGCAGCACCCAAGACCTCGGCGGGAAGTCGGCTTCACGTGGCATGTGGATTTGATGTAAGCCACTTGCTTGAGCAGGTTCCAGAGGGTCCATCTCTTCCAAGTTCCAAAGCCTCAGATTCGAAAGATTTCGAAGCTGCAAGTCAGTTGGGAGGAAACCTTTTATGGCCTTCCATTCAGATCATGTCAAGCGGCTGGATGGAGTGATCAATCGAACCCACAGCAGCATAGCAGCCGCTGTCGCTTGAGGACGTTCGTCCCATCCACTCCACGCACAGCGGATAAGCTGCAAGACCAATCTCATGGTGCACGTACATGTTCACCTCATCCTCCTCGAAGACATAGAGCTCGAGGGTGCAGCAGTCTTCCTTCCACTTGGGCTGCGTATGCTTGCTCGCTCTTGTCTGTTGGTGTATATTGATGTGTCTCATGTATGGCACATGGCCTCGCAAGAAGCTGCGACGAACACATGGTCATCCTGTCGAATCTCCACATCACCTGCAGACAGACACGACAGCGGCTTGCAGGGACTACCTCTGACTGCTGGCACTGCTCAGGGCCGTCAACAGCTCGGGGTTTCCGTCTCCATGGATGCAGCAAGATAATTGAGCTGCTACGGCTAGACGTGCTGGATTCTGCATGCAACCAATGGTTATCGTGAGCGCGAGGGATGCCGACTTGCATAGACCTAGCCGCTAGCCAGAATGCGCTCTAGCTTGCAGCAGGTCAGTGCCGCGGCAAGCAGCCGCCCTTTCGTCCCCTTCCCTCTGGCCTTCTGAATCGGAATCCGAGTCTGGATTTCCAGTCATGTGTGGGTCCTTCTCTCGTGCCAATTCGCCATCGGCATCGAGAACAGAGAAGAACTGCATGCCTCAATGGGAATGAACCGAGCCACTGCTCAAAGACAAGCACATACTCTGCTTACATTCCGCCGCCTTCATCGGCGTCGTTGTCGTAGTTCTCCATATCGAACTCCTGAGGATCAGTCTTTGGTTCAAGAAAGGTACTCCAGCGAAACTGCGACAGATGCCTCCAAGCCGGGAATAGATCCCCCGGCAACCGAGTGGTTCACATCGGCTGCCTCCCTCATCGCATCATCATCCTCCTGGCGTGCGAGGAACTATGCGGAAGCGTGCAAACCACCCGTTGACAAGCTGCATCAACAGTGTCGATGCAGGGCATGACGGCTATGATGCGAGTGTGAGATGCCACACATGAAATCCAAAGGTCCACGGCCTCTTCGTGCTGGGCTCCGACGAGGCGTCCGCTGCAGCTGCCACGCGGCAACCAGGACACACAGGTCACTGCAGTCTTCTCCATTGCGGTGCTGCGTAGCTACAAGAAACTACTGCGAACAACAGCTTCCTGGACTTACTTGCAATGCTCAAGGCTCCAAGGGATACTCAGCACTGGTAAGTGCAACAAGTCCAGGGGGTTGGCCCTTAGGGTTGAGGGGAGCGAAAGGGTGGCTGGTGTCAACTCAGTGGGACTGGGGCCTCCCGATTCCAGATTGCCCTGATTCCTGACAGTGCTGGTGAGGGCTGCCAACTAAAGCCATTTGGTGGCAAGACATGGATCCGACACGCGGTAGCATCATCTAGCGGGTTGTGGAAAGGTGCCTCGGCGTTCTACTCTGTGCAGCTTGAGGCAAGCCAGCATCAACGTGAAGACCAAGCGAAAAGAAGCGATCCGCCAGCTTATGCAGAGTGACGCTAAAATGCACGACTGCAAGACTTCAACACGCAAAACAAAGCACTGACCGAGCCTGATGCATTTTGGCAAACATTGAATTGCTGGCACAGGGTTCCACGAGTTGCTTTACAGGGAACTCAAGAAACTCTGTCGGTTCCCAAAATTACAAAGTCGCTGTGTGCCTGCGTTTCGGCAATAGCAGTTCATATGTGGTTCTAGGGCCAAGCTTCGGATTCGTTTCGTTGTCTTATGCTGTTGCCAGGGCAGACAAAGCGTCTATGCCGACCGTTGCTGGTGCCAGCGGTGGCCGGGCAAAAGGATTTCAAACATACCACTGCAAGACTTGCTTCAAGCAGTCTGCTGGGCTGTGAATAAGGTCTGTGGTCTAAAACAAGTCTCCTCTCAAACGAATTCGAAATATAATGCTTGCCAAGCAGCACTGACGTCCTGTAACATGTGAGTCTTACGACATTCTGTTCGGAAGCGGCGGTCTCTGTGGTAGTTCGGTGGAGCAGGAGGCGGAGCAATCCAAGCCTGAAAACTACAAATAGGAGAGCGATACTGATGGCTGGTTGGCAGTCCTCGTCAGTGCTGGAAGTGCCCTTCAGGCGTTCCTGTGACATGGCAAAGTTGTCTGTGTCAGGAGCTTCCTGTCATCCAAAGTGCATGGAGGATGCTGCGTCCTCGATAAACTTGAGCTCAGCACGCTTCACATCCACGTACCTGGGGTCCCGGCACAGCAGTCGAGTAACAGGGACCAGAGGCCAGACCCACCAAAATCCACATGCTGCCGAGCAGCCATCTCACAAAGCGCTGGCCAAGCTTAGAAACCTGGCGAGCTTTACGCTGTTCACCCTTACGCGAACCAACATAGCAAGAACTTTGTGCTGCCGGGGGACCAGATAACTGTCAGCTTCGAAAGCTCGCAAGGCTTCATCCAAGGAGGCAGGCAGCGCTGCAGCGCCATCTGCCTGGCCAAAACCACTGAAAAGGCATCTGCAACCTCGAGGCTGGAAATGATCGAACACTTGCTCTAGAGCGTTGCTGAACAGGACCCTGGATCCCCGAAAACTTCGTGAACTTGCAGAAGTCCCGCCTTTGGGATGCTTTAGCCGAAATTGTTGGGGATTGGAGGTGTCAACACCAACACTCGAAGGCCAGGATCGACCAGGGCTCTAAGTTATTATAGGGTCTTTCCTAGAAGCAATCCTGGGGTCAACTTCGCATTGCTGTGGGTTTGTTCAAACTGGAAGAAGCCGACGCTGGAAACACTTCCGATCGATCGCCCCCGCAGCTAGTCGGCTCCACTGACAAAAAAAGCGTCGAACGTCTCCTCCGCGAGCCTTCGTCTGACGTTCTGGAGGCAAGTCCATGCCCTGTTGAAGCCCATCCAAACCGCTGGCGACAAGACCTGCGAGGACCTGCAGCTTAGCAACAATGAGTACAAACATCAATCGGGCCACAATGACTTCTGCCGCGATGCAAAGAGACGAACAACTCAACTGAGGTCAAAGCCAAATAAGGATTTGCTGCCGCGGAAGGCCTGAATTGCATGGTGTAGGCACATCTCCTTCGAGCTTGATCCACCCGTGCTAGGCTTCGGGCATTCGCAGCCTGAGTACCCAAGGCTCAATCAAACGCGTTCGCTTCTCAATGCCACTGCACTTGTGCAATGTAGAAAGATCCATAAGGCGAGCAGCTCCATGTAGCAGCTCCCTGGAGGGCCCCGGCGGTCAGCTTTGACTCGCACACAGGCCGTTCGATCGTCGAAACCCCAGTTCGCCACGGTGGGCGCCCAGTTGCCGTGACGGCAGTAGCAGGGCGGGGTAGGCGAGCAAAGGGCTTCCTGCATGGCCCGAATTCCCTTTATGCTTGGCCCCGTCTAAAATGCCCCCTAGCTCGCTCCACCCAGAAAAAGCATTGGCCAAGAGTCCAATGCTGGGGCGTGGGCCAGAATGCCTGCCTTGGTGCAAACTTCGGCCAGAACACCCTAAACACATCTTGAAAACACCAAACAGCTTTGTGTGCAGGTAGTCTATTTCAGGTAAGGCTTGCGGCCTTGGACCTCCATTCACTAAAGCTTGCGGGTTCTAGCTTCCCGCAAACAAGACAGAGGCGCTTTCCGTACCATCAGACAAGATACCAGAAAGGATCGTGCCGCCGGCGACAACCCTTTCGCATCTTCAGAGGAGTGGAAAGCATTCAGCTTCCCCGAGGTGACCCTGGAAACGACGTCCTCATGTCAATGCTCGAATCTTGTTTGCAAGGGCACTGCCACTGACGCAACTCTGAACTGTGTCTTCTTTCTGCTCTTCTTCTGCAAAAGAGGTGCCTTTGGATCGCCGCCTCTGACACCGCCAGGCATCCAGATCGAGAAGTTCATGTGTCCACCATTCCCGACTCCACTGACCTCTGCCAGACCGAATTTCTGCAGCACAGTTTTGCTGGCGGGAATGCAAAGAGTGCAAAGTGAGCCACTCCGAAAGGTTTCGCCATGAACGTCGCACGAAGGCCGAGGTCTTGGGCCATCCTCAGTCTCAGTCAACAGAGGCAACACCTGCTGCGAAAGACTAAGGCTGGGGTTTCCGCAAACTTGTCGCATACTCATCCGGGGTGTAAGTGATTGCGAGTGAACGAGAACATGATCCGAGTCAAGTTGCTCTTTTGTCCCTGTTCGGAAGGTAGCAGTCATGTCGGGGGCCTCAATGCCAAACTTTGGTGCGAACGTGATCTCGAGCTGGCCTTTGCCATATTCGGTGTTCCTCTGCTGATGGGTGAGCCATACATCAAGCTAGAGCTCGAGCAGCCGGGCGCCAAAATCACCCCGTCAGGCAAGACAAGAGGCATTGTGAGGATATCCACCCCCACGGAGTCCATGTGCCTTTCCAAATCGTAGCAGAAATCGATGGCTTTGCATGACCTCAGGGACGCTGTCAAACAACTGAAACGACAGGAGACACACAAGCAAAGACGTGAACATGTTGTGCTCTGAGAACGACTTTTCTTCGACACAGCTCTCAGCTGAGTGGCTGGAGAGTAGTGAAGATTTCAGGACCGTTGAACATCGGTTCCCAGACTTCGCCAGATCCATCTTTGCCTAAGCAGTCGCCCAGGAGACTGTGAAAGAAACACCTAGCATGGAATGCTATCAAAGTGCACTTAGCCATGACGAACTCGAGCTCGCCGCCTACGAAAATGGACAGCTTCGCTTGATGCGTGCGTTCACCGCAATTGCCAATCGGTCAAACGACACGTTGCCTGCCAGGAGCTCATAGCCTTTGCCGTCAAAGCTTTTCAGTTCGGCCAGCATTCGGCCGCAAAGGGAGCGCGGCCCCAGCTTCATGCCCTCCATTTCGCAGTAAACGCGCTTCACGACTATGTTTTTCGATGGCCGGCATGCCCATGGCAGGACCTGCGTCCCAGCAAGGCGACAGGCATCAGCAAAACTGTTGACACTGCGGCACGCATCACACCTGTTCAGTCGACCAATCCGGGACGAGCTTGGCATTTGGGCAGCCGGCAGCAGCTATTTCATCTGGGAGCAACATCACCTCCTGGCTTGGGTCACGAACAGGGATACACCACATCACCCGAAAAGGGGAAGAAATGAAGGAGCGGCGTGCGTCATTCGGTCCTGGTTTGCTCCATATGCTAGTGCACCAGAGTACATGTAGACCTTGACGTCTCTGTGCCGAGCCGGCACGACCTTTGAAAGTGCCTCAGCAGCGCTTTGCATCGCACATGCATGTGATGTGGAATGCTGCAGAACTGGAAAGCAATAACTTGACACCCAGCCTTGCAGTGAAAGTCAACGACTTCAAAGCGAATGTATTCTCTCTCGCGCGCGGAACTTGCATCTTTCTCCCGACCTGCTGGCTCACAAACACCCTTGTGATGCGTGCAAACATGCACTCATGCTCGGCATGGTCGAGCTGCCTCTGCCATAGCTCATCATATCCTGGCTTGCACCACCATTAGGCAGTCGCGCTGATTCGGCACGCGGGGCCTGAGCTTCTAAGAACCCCAATGTCGACTCCCACACTCCATCTACAGCCGCGTTGCCTGTGGAGAAGCAGCCATGGCCGGGCGGAAATCTACAGACCGTTGTTAAGGAAGTGTTGTTTGATTTGCCTTAGCAAAACCTACTGCTGATTGGTGTAGAACAAGTTTTTCTGGTTTGTATTACTCTTTCTTGGAATGTAAAGCTGCGCGTGGAGCTGCACGCATTTTCGGGCCGTCCCGCCCCCCCCCCCCAAGAAAAAAACGAACCTTGACTTTTCCAAGCGTGCAGATTTGCAAATGAATCTGCTTAATCTTTCCGGCCAGTGAAACTGCGTCACTCGTCATCCCAACAGCCACGGCTGCGCTCAACCGATGCGGCCAATGTGTCAAGGAGATGACCTGCTGCTGTTGGTGAGAGAAGCTTGGCTGAAAAAAACCAAACCAGCGAGCTAGGGCCAACACGCAACTGTGGAGCACGTGATGAGCCAGCAGGTTGACGCAAAATCTGGAAGCCAGAAAATTTGATGTGGAGCAGGCTTTCTGATCTTCTCTGAGCGTGGGTCAGAAATGCATTGCGATACCGAAGCATTGAGCAGCGGCTGGCCTTTGGCATCTTCAAATTTATGTTCAGCTTTGCGCACTCTGTCTTGAGGCTGCTGGCGCCAGATCTCCAAGGCGGCGAAAGCAAAGGCCATGGTCGCACAACCCTGCCTCGCAAAGCGCTCAAGTCAGCCGCTCAAATGGGAACCCCTAAGCCAAGGCTCTCGCTCGTCGAACTCAGGCATCCGCAGAAGTGCCTACGTCATCAGGAGAACACTCCCTTCCGAGGACACCAAGCTGAGTGGGGCACTGCGGCAGATGCAGCGGACATCGATGCCTGGAGCTGAGCTACGAGTAGCTGTGGATACATGATATGACGAAGGCACACATCATGGCGCACACACACACACACACATTCCTTCACTTGCTTCGCACCTCGTCCCGATGCAGGAGTGTAGCAAGAGCTCGGGCTGTGTTGGAGATAGCCTGCACAGCACCGCAACACATGACTCACACCACGAGGTCCATGGGCTAGGCTTCTGTTCCCTGCCGCCCTTGCCTGCGTGTCACCCTCATGGATTCGGATCTGCCTTCCAAGACATGTACGTCACAGCTAGAAAAAAACCAAACTCTGCACTCCAGAGCCTCCGTGCTCCGAGCACTTTCATGAACGGCGCACTTACCAGCATGGGCACCGCGAGACTTCAGGCGCTGTTGGCCGAATCTCGGGCTGTGTACCTGCCCGAAGAGTTCTAGTTTCGAAAGCTTCACATTCACATTTTGTGCCCCTTTGCTAATGCAAAGCAGTTGCAGTGCATGGCAGTAGCTGGCCTGGCTACCTTGCGCGAAGCTTCTGTCCTCTTACGAGCAAGATGCAGTTGAAGGTCGCTGCTTCTCCGGCCATCGATGCCAGAACACTCCATGTAGAAGCCCTGTGCCACAAACCCTGCAGAGAAGAAGCTCCGGAGGCCTGAACGGAAGACGAGACACTAAAACAAAAGCGGACCCGCTGTCCTGATGGCATCCGTCAGAGGCTGGCAGCACAGCCCTGGCTTGGCAAAGGCCTGCCCCGTGTTGACGAGCTCCTGACGGTGCCAGGAACGAGCTTTTCGTGGCTTTGCCATTCTGGCACGGACGGCCTGAACGTCACAGTGAACTACCTGTCCGCGATATCTCTCTCATACATACTGACTTCGTGAGCTTCCCGGCCTTCTTTTGCAACTGTCCGCAGACTGCGAGCATCAGGGCCTGGTCTCTCAGGTTCATGACGCCAAGCCTGAGGCCATGGTCCAATGGTGCGGGAAGGCCCCAACATCACTCGTGGATAAGATGATAAGAACCCGGCTCCCGCGCCGTGTTGGATGGTTGCTGCCTTTCATCATGCGCACGACTCAAGTGTTACAAGGCGACCTGCCAACCAGACCGAGTGAGCGTAAACACTCGTATCTACTGCACACTGGAAAGCTACAAGCTGGAGCCGCTTATTCTGCTGGGCATCTACTAGTAGCAAATTTCGGAGCACTTCTGAGCTTGAAGTGCGACTGAATTTGCATCGGCCTTCCGACAGATAGGCGGATGGAAAGCGAAGGCTTACCTCTAGCCTTCTGCACCACTGCGGGCTCACAAAAACTCGCTGGCGGTAGAGCGCCAATCAAGTTATTGAACATAGCCAACACAATTGAGCTTTCCAGCTTGCATGACTTCTGGGAGACCTTCCAACCCAAACATTGGACGGAGCAACTCTCCACGGCAGACATGCCGAAAACATTGAAATTGAAGCATCTGAACGGACGACTCAGTCTTTTGAGCTGGTGGGAGCACTGTCGCGAGTTCGATTCACTGTTCACACAAGTCTTCAAAGGTGTTCCTTGCATTTTCATGCCGGAGACAGCAGCAGGAAGTTCAATTGGTCTAGTATGCAGTCAGGGTGCGGCCCAGGATGCACAACCTGCAGGACTTGTACCGACAGGATAGAATATGGGAGTCCACACGAGCACCTGTCGCATCGCCCCTCATGATATAGCTCCAGTCGATGGCATGCCTTCGCTAAGCTCTCGACACTCATAGCGACGACAACGATCACAACGAGTGCTATTCTGCTGAAAACTGTGTAGATCTTCGCACGCGCACATGGATGCTATTTCGTCGAAAACCAGCACACGGCTCTTGCAATCCTACGCCTGCCTGTAACCTCAGGCAAAGACAAGGCAGCTCGCAAACGGCCAATGCTCGTGCCGTGTTTGACCTGCCAATGCTAGCAGCGCAGCAGGCTCTGCCATAATGCTGTTCTCAGCCCGACAGCTTCTCAGATCCGGACATATTCTGGGGATCTAGGTCTTGCTAGCGGCGGACTGAAGCGACCTCTGAAAGCTCTGCCTGATACTGTCGTAACATCGCCGGCTGTCTTAGCTCAATGCAGATGTGGCATTCCAGGTCGGTTCGTGCTGCACGGCCAAGACCGCCGAAGCCCAAGCACCGTTGGACAAATGCTGCGGGGACCTGGCATGCATCATGCATCAATCTGGATTTGCACCTCTCCCTGCGGCATAGTCCCCAAGAGAATGTTCTTGGGATCCCGACGCTGGAGGCGTCTCTGCCTCTGCCCGACATCCAATCTAAGAGGAGCACCGAATCAAAGGATGCTGCACCTCTCCAGTTAGCGCTGTGGGAGCCGCGACAATGTGAAGCACCTGGGAGTTTTCTGAACCCACCAGAACAAGTCAGAAAGATTTTGCTTGTCTTCAGTCAACTCTTGTCACAAAGCCTCAGGCTGTCGCATCCGTCAATAGCTTCTGGAAGCTTTGTCATTACACGACCTGCATGCGTGCTGCGGGTTCTGATGAGTAGTCAGGCTGAACTGCAGCAGACGGATCGGGCAATCCCGGAGATAGACTCAAAACACCTGCTACGTGATCACTGTTTCCGGGCACCTCAGCACCGTCGGGTGACTTGGCGACGCGGTGGAGCGCGGTGACCAGGTGCACAGCGCCGAACTGTGGCTACCGCCTGCGTACAGTCCCTGAAGAGGAGCTGTCCCGGATAGGTCTGCAAGGAAGCTGCAACCAAAGTGCCGCTGACACCACTCCAGAATATCTCCAGCACCTTTCGGAATGCCATGATCGACACTTCACTCTACGCTGTCAGTCCAATCGCGATATCTCGCCAAGGGGCTCTGCATTGACGCTAAAGCATCGTTGAGCCGACGTGACTGCCGCTGCTCTGGTGTCAGCCCATGTACACCTCAAGTCGCGACACCAGCGCAATGACGTGAAGCAGACGCGTCGCATGCCGCATGCCATCGCATGCCTTCTTGCTTCAAGAAAACATCCGGCTTTACTTCGTCAGAAGCAGAAAGAGAGTGCAAGAAAAGGCGTCCAGTCCTGGGCTCCGAGCTGCCTCGCAACGGCCTGGATCCTCCCCCTCCGGCATCCTGAAGACATGCCGGCCCCGCATTTCCGACTTGCGACTCTCAGCTGAAGTCGTCCCATTTCAACCGTCGAAGCACTTGCGGATAACGTTGGCTGCCTTGACCTCCTCTTCTTCGTCGTTCATCTCAGGAAGCGCAGATCGGCAGAGGTCCTCGCCCCATGGCGAGCCATGCAGCCACCTGGGTGCCTGCTCCTAGGTTTTTACAGCAGCTGCGAGCAAACGCTGGACGAGTTGTTGAAAGCAACCTCAGGCCTCAGGTGAATGCAGGACCTACCCGACAAGTATCCACCAGAACGACAGACATGATCGGGAACGCTCAGCCGTATGCAGACTCTTTCCTTGATCGGTGCTGCTGATTGAAACAAAACCCATGCTCGACCGTCCTTGCACTTGACTGACCACTTGAAATTTTAAGAAGAGCATGCCCCTGCATCTATTTTTGAGCTTCTCGCACCTGAGCCTCACGAAGTCTATGATGGCGCGTGCACGCGATGGGAACGAGAACTAAACGGCACATCCTGCAATCGCCACGGTTCCAAATACTGTCTTTGAACCAGCACCTTGCTTAGATTTCTCTCACTCTCTTTTCGACTTGCGGCTGCGTAAGTGGGATGTATCTTAGGGCCGAAGGATTTCATTGCAGGATGTTAGAAAGGTGAACCCGGGCCAGAAGCCTCACATCGAAGGCTACTGTCTGTTTTTCCGCAGCGAAGCCTGAAATCTCTTTGCCTGAGAGGCCAGCACACAGAACTGTTGCATGCGGTCACGCTCCCATAAACGATGGGAAAGCGTTTCTGACCATCCGCCAGGACAGGAAGAAGGTGGACTACTAGCCCGAAACAGAACCAAGTCTGGCCTCCTCCTCTGTCATGACCTGCAGGCCGGACACGTCCGATACAATCTCTGCTCACTGGCTCTTTCAACGCGCTGAGGCATGTGCCCCAGTCCTCTTTTCTGCCACCGTCACCTTCTCAAGCCTGTGTCAGTTCTGAAAGAACCGACTCAAGTTCTGGCCCAAACTGCTTGGGGAGAGGACAGCTTGTCGTGAAAATGCCAGCCCATGACTCGTCATCTGCCGCAGAACAAGCTGTGATGGTGGCAATCTCTGAGGTGTGAGCATCTGGTGCTTTTGCTTCTTCTGCTCCTGTTCTCGTCCTTGCCGCATGTTGCATGTTTGTGAGTTTCTGGAGAGAAGTTTGCCGGGAGCCGAACTTTCTCGCGCTTGGATCTTAGCTTTCAGAGCAAGGGCTTCCTCCGCGCGCATGACATTCCTTGCCTGCAGGGCGCGTCCCCTCGCTTTCGCATGCGCGGCCCGCAGTCGGCTAGTGGAAGAACTACTGCCTGCGGCTCCCCCTTAGCATTCCGGACGATGGTGAAGCTGATCTCGGCACCAGGGCGACCGGGAAAACACGCAGCGAGTCCAGGAGGAGAAGGTGCATATGGTGTCTTGGAGCATCTCGAGGCTCCAACCAGCTCACCCACCTTCGCATCGCCCATTTGCCTTTGAGTCCAGGCGCAGAACGAAACGCCCCGACGTGCCATGAACTCCCCCGCAGAATGGTGCCTGGAGTGCAGGTAGACGTCCTGAGCCAAAAGATCGCCCAATCCTGCACTGCTTGCCCGCCCATGCCCATCTCCAAGTCGCAGACACGTCCATACCTAATCCGAGCAGCTTCACAATCCTGAGTTCTCCATGGGCATAATTACCGTGCTGAAGTCTCCATTTCGCTGTGCCAGCTATACGGTGCAACAGGTGCACCAAGTTCAGAAGCAGACTTGTGCTACCAGTACCATGTGCGGTTGAGGTGCAATGAAGCCATATCCTCCACCGGAAGCGATTTCATAGAAGCCTTTGATCCGCCCTGAGAACCTCATGTCACTGAGCCGCTGTCACAACAGAGATTCTGAAAAGGATACGACAAAACACACCTTGCTCACTCCTCGCCTGTTCGGGTCGTTGTCAGGGTTGAGCGGGTCCTTGCTTCAAAAAGTGGTGAAAGAAAAGTGGTGAAAGATCAAGCAAAGAAGCAGATTGATTGAAGCATGTCCTCCTCCCTGACTTCTTCTTGAGGTTGACCGAAGTCCCCGAAGCCTGACTGCGACATCCTGTCAGCTGAATGTGCAGGGAGGAGCGGCACGCTCTCCGGCGTTAGGTATAATTTTCACACGTGCATCTTTTATCCCAGCGGCATCTGCATCATCATCTGCTGTTGCATCATCTGGCCTTGTTCCACGGACAGCCACTCGCTGAAAGTGAGCGACTGAACGAGCGAGCGAGCCTAGAAGCATCTGCTGCGCCATTCCAATCTCATTGACCTGAAGCTCTGCGATCAGGCTTACATTGCTGCAGTGACATGCTCGGAGACACTCCTCAAGCTGGAGTGCAGAAAAGGCGCAGGTGAAGCCGGAGGCACAGCAAAAACAGACCTCGGATTTGCCGGCCGATCGGCACCCAGAGAACAAACAGGACTCTCATCACCAGAGCGCCGCGCCCCGGCCGATTAGGTGCAAAGGTCTCCTGACCCACTCACGACTCATGACATACATATATATATATATATATATATATGTACAAAAATATGTGTATATATATATATGTGCATATATGTAGTTATATATATATATATCCCTAAAACCAGACCCTGAAAAGAGATGAGCCGGACCAGAGCGGACCGGCGGACCGGGCTCCGGCCTGGGAAGGCGAAGCTGGTCCAGGAGCTGAAGGCGAAGCCATGCCCAAGGCCTGCGCCTGCCTGCGATCGGCGATAGCTGTCACAATAATTAGAAAATTTTTCCGAATGCTCTGCAGAAGGGTTCCCGTTTAAAAGGTTGGGGTCCAGGGGTCCAGCAGGTGACCAGCGACCAGCGATCGTGGTTAAAGCGTTCGCGAAGCGTCCGCAAGCGCCCGCGTGTGACGCGAGGTGCGCTGTTAAGGGGAAACTCCACAGAACGCGCGTCCCGACTGCGTTCTGAATCCGCCAAGCTAAGGCGAAACTCCACAGAACGCGCGTCCCGACTGCGTTCTGCATCCGCCAAGCTAAGGGGAAACTCCAAAGAACGCGCGTCCGGACTGCGTTCTGAATCCGCCAAGCTAAGGAGAAACTACACAGAACGCGCGTCCTGAATCCGCCAAGCTAAGGGGAAACTCCACAGAACGCGCGTCAGACTGGGTTCTGAATCCGCCAAGCTAAGGCGAAACTCCACAGAACGCGCTTCCCGACTGCGTTCTGCATCCGCCAAGCTAAGGAGAAACTCCAAAGAACGCGCGTCCGGACTGCGTTCTGAATCCGCCAAGCTAAGGAGAAACTACACAGAACGCGCGTCCCGACTGCGTTCTGAATCCGCCAAGCTAAGGGGAAACTCCAAAGAACGCGCGTCCCGACTGCGTTCTGAATCCGCCAAGCTAAGGGGAAACTGCACAGAGCGCGCGTCCCGTCTGCGTTCTGAATCCGCCAAGCTAAGGGGAAACTCCACAGAAGGCGCATCCCGACTGCGTTCTGAATCCGCCAAGCTATAAGGTGAAACTCCACAGAACGCGCGCCCCGACTGCGTTCTGAATCCGCCAAGCTAAGGGGAAACTCCAAAGAACGCGCGTCCCGACTGCGTTCTGAATCCGCCAAGCTAAGGGGAAACTGCACAGAGCGCGCGTCCCGTCTGCGTTCTGAATCTGCCAAGCTAAGGGGAAACTCCACAGGCGGCGTGGCAGCAAAGCGTCCACGTGTGACGGGAGGCGTGTCGCACAGTCAAGCTGAGAGGGAACTCCACAGGAGGCGTGGTGTGGCAGTGTGTCGCGCTGTTAATGGGGAACTCCACAGAACGCGCGTCCACGGCGGTCTGAATCCGTCAAGCTAAGGGGGAACTCCACAGGAGGCGTGCGTCCGCGTGTGACGCGAGGCGTGTCGCACAGTCAAGCTAAGGGGGAACACCACAGGAGGCGTGGTCCGGCAGCGTGTGTTCTGCATCCGTCGAGCTAAGGGGTAACCCCAGAGGACGTGAGGCGTGTCGCACAGTCAAGCTCAGGCGGAACTCCACAGGAGGCGTGGTGTGGCAGCAAAGCGTCCGCGTGTGACGCGAGGCGTGTCGCACAGTCAAGCTAAGGGGGACCTCCACAGGAGGCGTGGTGTGGCAGCGTGTCGCGCGTCCCGATGGCGTTCTGCATCCGTCAAGCTAAGGGGGAACTCCACAGGACTTCTCGCGCTGTTAATGGGGAACTCCACAGGACGCGCGTCCCGAATCCGTCAAGCTAAGGGGGAATTCCACAGGCTGTTATAATGGGTAACTCCACAGAAGGCGCGTGTCGCGCGAATTGTGAACTCCACGGGAGGCGTGTTCCGGCAGCGTCTCGAGGGCGTTCTGAATGGGGAACTCCACCGAACGCGCGTCCCGACGGCAGATATCGCATCCCCTAAAGAAAATACCCGGAGAAGGAATCAGGGCAGCACGAGAATCGTATCACAACGATTGCACGAGATGCAGGAAAAATTAAACATTATATGGATCCCGTGAGTGACTGCATCGCTGGCATGGCTGATGCTACAAGGTCATGTTTGTCATGATGTGTTGTCATGATGTTTGTTTTTCTCAGGATGCGATATCTGCGTTGCGCGTGTCTGCATTCGGGTTCGTGGCCCCTATCTGTTTTTTTTGAATTTTTTGGGGGGTATATAATAATATAAGTATAATAATATTATACTATTGCTACAATGATAACAAGGAACCCCCAAAATAGTATTGGTCACACCCGGACCCAAACATCTGATTTCTTGAAGACTGAGGCAGCCGGCTGTGGTGGGAGCGAGGACATCGGCATCGGGCAAGGCGATTCGGAGGCGGCCTCAAACTCTTCTCTCTCCTTGTCTTCCTCTCCGCAGATTTAAGGAACGAGGCGTGACCCCGCCCGCTGTTTCCCTTGCGAGCGCTTGGTCCGGCTCCGTTAGCCCAAGGAATTGCTGGAGGAGTCCCTGTTGCTTGCTCGCTGGGTGTATGGAGGCCTGAAAGGCCCCTACTGCGGGGTCTGGGGAGCCCCCTCTTATGTCTATCTCTAGCTCTACCTCTCTCTCATCACACGCTGCAAACAGAGTGTACCCTGCGCTGTTTGGTTTTTCAACGGTGACGACTGTCAATTGAAGAGTGCACCACTCGCGAGGCGCGGCGCAAGATGCAAGTCAAGTCGGGGCGGGGGTTGACTTCAGTTCCCACCCGTTGCTAAAGTCAGCAGACCGAACTTCGAACATTTGCCCAGCTGTACGAATCTGGCTTATTGTTATCTCGAGCCGACATTGGGGCCAGCACAGGAAGGCCCGACATGCTCTGAGGCTGAGGTGCCGCCTGAACAAAACACAAAAAACTGCGCCACGTCGACAACTCTGGCAAGCGGCGTGCTCTGCCTGGGGAGGAAATGAAGCCGCCCTTGCAAGGCTCCAGGTCACGACATTGAAAGCCCGAGGAGGCAGAGCCCGAACTTCGCGACTTAGGAGGGTGCTCGGCTGCTCTTGCAGGCTGTTGGCCTCAGGCTCTTCTCAGACTTTATTCGCTTTACCCGTCCAGGAGATGCAAAGACCAGCATGGATTCTTGCCGGGTGCGAAGACAATGAACAATCGTTGGGCATTTTTCTGTCTACTCCGAGCCATCGGCTCGCAACTTCTTCGACCTGTTCCTGCCAACGCTCTGGCCTGGTCAATATCACTTCACTGCGAGCATCCGCGAGCAATCACCCGTCCCATTCCGTTCCGCTGCTGAGTTTCGAGCTTGATGCCCGTCAGCCGGAAGAACTCTGCCTGTTCAAAGTCACACAAGTCGCAGAAAGGCAAACCTCACCTCGGACCTAAACATGTCTATGCGGCAGCCCTCGGAGCTCTCCTCCTCAGGAGTCATGGAAGCAGGCTCAGCTCTGGCTTTCTTCTCGCCTCTGGCTGAGCAGATTGGGAGGCCTCTGAAACTCTTTAAGAAAAACCCACATTCCATTCCGCAATTCTGTCGCAACAGGACCAGCGCAAGTTTATTGCCCAACTCATAAAGAGGTCCTAGGGCTTGGGTTCAGGATTATGATCCCCCTTGGCAACAGGCCTGTCTTGCCGGAATGTTCAAGTGCTGTACAACTTGAGAATCCCTTTGCAACTGGCTTGCAAAGTCACGCCAGGACAGCTAACTTGAGAATCCTAAGGATGGAGCTGGAAATTTGTAAAACAGCGGAGAGACCGAAACGCACTCAAACAGTATCAGAAATGTAGTGCAGCCTGTTGCAGTGCGAGCGATGTTGAGCAGCTTTCAACCGAGGATTTCTTGCGATTGATGTTTATGCAAAAATGCCACGGCATCCATCCGAATTTCGACCTTTGATTGCAGCTATGTACATTTTGTAGCTTCTGTGTGGCACATGCAGCGATAGCTTTCCGAACCCTCCTTAACCGTACACTGCTTTCATGTGTTCGCCACATTTTCGCCACAAGTGCCATGCATCTTTTCATCACTATGTACTGATCGAAGACGGTTGTTTCAGGTCCGAGTCTCTCCTGTTCTGGAGTTCATGGATTTCCACCTTGTGCCGCCACCAAGAGAACGCAAGTGCTTTCGGCAGACTGTCTGACACAGACTGTCCGCAGGCTGCCCCGCTCCTCCATTCCGCACCTCTACTCAACGTAAGCGCCATTCGCACATGCTGGGGAGAAGCTTGTCAGGTTTACCCGCCCTGCCACCTTCCGGCATGCTGCAAACGTCTCCAATTCACAGTTGCTGCCGTTTCTTTGTGTTCCTCGCTGCCGTTGGCGTTTGAACCGTTAAGGCCGACACGGCTCCGACCCGTTGACTGTCCAGGATGCTGAGGTTGGGACGGCACTACAAGCACGTAACAAGGAGTTGGGGGATGCGCATGCACTCACGCCTGAAGACGTGGAGCCACCTTCGTGCCATCCACTGCAGCCACCATAAGATCCATAACCTGTGCAGCAGGGCGCCACATCCGTTGTCGGGAGATCGGATTCAAGGAAATGCATGGACTTGCAACAACCACAAGGATCATGCGAGCGACGGGCTAGTGATCGGCAGAATCTGTGATGTTTCTTGAATTGAAGCCTTGATGCGTTTATCGATTTCTGATCAAGCTCTACAGGGGAATCTGCCTGCACTCAGCCTGCAATTTCCTCTTAGTTGTCAGTCGATGTCTTGTTCTCCTTGATCTCCGTTGGTCTGTCTTTGTGGCTTCAGGTGTGCATGTCATTTCATGCAGAGTGGATCCCATGTTCTGTGGCATGCCGAATAGTGCTATTGCAGCTGAAGCTTGCGCCGGCTTCGGTTCGAAGATCCTCTGTTTCAGTCCCGCTCCAGTGGTCTGTTACGCAGCGTTGCTTCCCAAACGCATCTCATCAGCCTCCTGGATCATAGGGGCGCTTCTGGCCCAGCATGGCCGGCAGCAGTCACTGAGACTACCGTTCCATCAGGATTCGACTAGGTTGCGTGTCCAGAGATGGGTTGGGAGACTGCTCAGCAAGCTTCGGAAGCCTGGGTTCAGCTGCTAATCCCGCTGTGTCTGCATCATGAGCTACACTCCAGAGCCAGAACGCGGGGCTGGTACTCTTAACATCTGAAGCATGCAGCCGAGAAGGGTCTGATCTCACGTGCAAATTTCCTAGAGAAAGGAGAAGCTTCTCTTTTACTTCTTCTACAGCTGAAGATGATCCGATCGGGCACTTGCCACCCGAAACTCTTCCAAGACTGCAGAGATCCGAAGGCATCGATTGTCGTGGTTGGACTCGTCTTCTGGACGGGATCGTCAGTAGCTCGTTCTACGCGGCTTGCGAGAACTCATCTCCAACACGTCAGGCTGATCACATCGACGAGCACACGTGAGCACGCCAAGCATCACAGGTGGGAGTCTGGGACTAGCACTGAGCTGCAGATAGCTGCAGCATCTCTTCATGTGTCGAGAGCATGTCCGAGCCGAACACGTCTTCTAGCCTCGGGCATCCAGTAGCGCTTGCCGTAGTGGATTAGGACCTCAAGTCTCAGTCTACGAGTCTACGCATCACTCGAGGCCCGAAAGTGCATCCGCCGCTCCGCTCCGCCTGCTCCTCGGGCATCAGATCACGTGTCGCCCGGCCTCGGTTGCAGACGCCCGGCCTTTCAGCCCTCTTATCACTGTCAGGGACGTATGGAGGGGCTTTCGGGGTGTATGGCAAGGGTGTTAATTGGTTTTGGCTTTGGCCGAGTGGCACAGGACGTGTAGCAAGCCCTCGTGATGAACCGACATCAGCTCAGCGTTCCAATCATCATCACCTCGACACGCCGCTGGCAAGCAATAGTTCTCGCGACAGTCCCCGAAGATCGCAAAACGTACCATGTCCGGGCATTTAACGTGAGATGTTCCAAAGCTTGGCAGGTCACTGTGGTTTATAAGCCTACATAAATTGCCGAACTTTTTCGCATCGACGACAAGGTCGGGATCCACAACTGGAAGCGAGAAGCCATACCTCCGAATGATGGGCATCCCCTTGTGTGCGTAAGAGTGTTCTTGGCATGAACTCCTCGGGCACAGGCAGGCCGTCTTCCTCACACGTACGGCGCGTCCTGAATGAAGGCGATTCCGATCAGCGATGGATACTCAAACTGGAGCACTCCGTGACCACGCACACTGGGAAGTGGGCATGACCCCAACGTACTCTCCCAGGAACGTGCCCTTGGCCACTGGCCGTGTGGTGAATAGGCCGAGCCTTGCGCACGGCTTGACACTGGCTTCCAAGGTTTAGATGACGCGTCCTGCGCTGAGTCCCGGGCCCAATGTCCACACCGTCCACCACTCCAATCCGTCGAACCTCGCTTTCTGACAGTTCGCATGCTACAGATCGAAGCGGAGTCGGCCATTTCTCGAAGCCACTTAAGCATTGGGCAAACACCGAGTCGTATAAGAAACCCCCACACCTGCGCACTGCGACCCTTGAGGCTGTCATCGATCTGCCAAAGACATTGCAAAACTCCAGCACAACTTACCACCAGTCCTCAGCATCTCATCACACCCGGCATCGACACTGCTTGGAACCTCGGCGGCTTTGGGGTTCTAACTGTTCTTTAGTATCTTGGTATCCTCCGATTTCATCCGTGCAAGAGATCGAGACTGGGGGTCAGGAAAGTGCATAGGCACACAAGGCATACCATGGAGCTGCGCCCGATGAAATGAACGCATGGGCAGACCACGTCCGATAAGACACTTCGAAGACTGTCTGGCGCAGATGCTTCACTTTGCAATATTGGCAGCACTTCCGCCAGAGGGTAATTATCACGTACACCTCGATACTGAACATGACACTCTTCTCATGCCTTTCTATGTACCTGCACCCAAGAATTGATCGTGCATTTTGCATCTCTTATTCGGGCTTCAACCGCACTATTGCGCCACTTGCAAACTCGGCCCTGGGTTCTGCCAAACTTCACTGCTAGTCTGTCAACATCGCCTGAAGACCTAGTGTCCGCCTCACAGCTGCACGTTCACGATCTTTGGCGGCGGTCATTGCATTTCGACAGCATCAGAAACAGTACGTAAGAACTTGCGACCTAGTTTATTTAAGTTTGACGCTTCGGTTTGTTTCAAGAGGTCCATCCAAGACTCTTCAACAGCACATGAAGTGCTATCGTCGGTTGGGAACGAGATTATGAGCAAGCACGATATGTTTTCCAGCGGTGTCAGACACCAATGCAGCAGATCACGTCGGTGAGTAGCTTGGAGGAGGGATTGGGCCCTGCTTGAACAAGGGGTCTTACATAGATACGTCTGGCTACGACATGACTAGAGTGACTTCCTTCCAAGACTCCATGCCCCTCGCTTCTCACGGATTCTCACGGATCTCCGGTCTCGCTCCGTAGCGCTTTGGGTGTCCGGACCGGAAGGAATTCAAACAACGAATGAAACTTCGGCTCATTTCCAGCCTCACATGCAACATGAAACTGCCCTCGAATTCGGAACCATAAGCCGGAAAGCTACCTGGCGTCCTGTCTGGCAATGTAGAGCCATACCCTATGTCAGGGTAAAGAGTCTGAGGACATTAGGATACACGCGGCAGCACCACCCCAGCTCAAACGCCTTCCTCAAAAGATGCTGCAACCCAGTTTCGGAAAAAACACAAGCAGTCTCAACATCAAGAGGTGTTAACTTTTCGAAACGGAGGAAGGCTTACAAGCTGCTTCTGGCGGAGGCCGGTCGATTTGTCTCAAACTGGGACAACGTACGAAACTTAAAGTCTGACTATAGGAACATCGACCAGCAACCCCTCCATGGCTGATGCGAGTCTGACATTTCGCACAAGAGACAGGCCGCCTTCTAGCAGCACGCGCATTGGCCCTTCTGCAATGTATGCGTTGCAGAACTCATCATACGATCACTCAGTCCGCACCTCCATCTCTCAGTTGTGCTTCTTCGAACTCAGTGCAAGGGCTGCACAGTCACCTCTGAAGTCCTCCCCTCACACTGTGTATCGCCGAGTGGCTCGTCGAATGAATCGTTATTCTCATTGAAGCCTGTGCGGTACTCCACACGGAAGAGGTGCCAGCCTTGTGGAACAAAAGCACGGTCACACAGATTGACATATCACCAGACATCTAACTCAGGCAAGGCACCAAATTTCGTCTTCACAGGGCCAAGCACTTGGCCGATGGGATTGGAGCGGTTGAACACAACTCCTTGGATAGGTTGTTGAGCCTGTCATGTGACTTCCATAACATGGAGCTGGGCCGAGTAAACGCATGAGCCCGAGACGTGCTTCAGACATGCTTGGGCCAAGGGTCTGTCAAAAGACGGATGAAGTTCTCCAGGCTGGAAGACGCCAAGGTCTCCTCCGTCTACAGCCGACTTGCACCTGAAGGGCATCGCATGCTTCGACCTATCATGATCAACTGCCTCGGATGGCAAATTCTTGAGAGAGAGGCTGACTACCGATGCCAACCGGGCGCTGGCTCAGTGCTCGTGCAACACGGGAGAAGCTTTCACCTCCTTCAATTCGCGCTTTTGCTTGGAGGATGTCAGCCTCACGTCGCCGCATGAGTGAGGCTACGATCCGGCCTGAATTACTCGCTCAGGCTCTTCGACTCTTCGCTGGCCTCGGACTGCATGAGGATGTGGCGCGCCGAGGCGCTCTTGATCTTCCGGCTCTGGGAGTCGGCGCTGTAGAGCATGTACATCGTGGTGGAGAGCACCTCAGGAAAAGGAAAGGAAGAGAGACGCAGACGCTCCGAAGCGGGCGCTGGCAAGCGGCAAAAAGTCCACAAAAGACGATGAAGAGATGGCCGTAGGTGAACTTCAGCTGTCCCCAGATGATCGCGGGCTCCCGGATCCGAGTGCCCATCCTGGAAGAAAGATCGGTGGTGAGACTGTGACTCTGCACTCAAAGCCTTTTTGCATACTGCACGAGCTGTAAAGGCTGTAGAGGCTCTTCAGGATCCACTCGCTGGCGGATGTCACCTGCGGCTGTGGAGTGGCACTCTGACAGCCCTTCGCAGCATGTCGTCAAGGCACCTCATAAACGGCTCCCCGTGGGCGCCGATGAGGCAACACCTGGTGATGTTGCAGATGTTTCCAAGACCGTCTTTGCAACTTTCAGCGCAACAGGCCTCCTCGATGTCAGCGAAATCCATGGATGCAGAGGGCAGGTCACCGGTTGGCGTACGTACTCTTCTCACAGGATCAAAGCAAGGAAAGATCTGTTAGTCAGCTAGCCGCACCCACTGCAAGAATAGAAGTTTCCAGTTCTCACTCCTGCTTGAGCCAGACTTGCAAGATCTCGCAAGTAACAGAATGCAGCAGAACTGGCGATCTGAAAATCCGCCTCTCACAACCTGTCCGGGGGCAGCGTCACACCAAGACACCCGCATTGCCAAAAGGAGTGCTCGGAGACACCGGAGGGGGAAACGCCTTGGACATCTGCTGCTGCGACTTGGCTCAATTGGCCAGAGATCTTGATTTCTCGAATGCTTTCAGGCAGCCCAGAACTCGCGCTCGGCTAGGAGACGTTGATCCTGACATCAAGACTGTGCTGGGGCGATAGGCAGTACTTTGCATTGCATGTACGGGATGCAAATTCACTGAAACATTACCTATACTATTTGGGGGCTCCTTATTAGAACTATAGTATTATATACCTCCAAACCCTGTTCCATTTATTAACTGTAAGCCTCCGAATGATGTTGGGACTCGTGCGGCTTAGCACGTGTCCAAAGGCGCAGGCCGGTGCGCGTAGATCGGCTTCCATGGAACCATGTACTCCCTTCTGGATTCTACCCACTCCCCAGACACTTTAATGTCCCTTAATTTAGGGATATACCCTTAGAGTATAGTAGGACCCCTTAGATGATTTCAGGTATACTCGTTAAGAAGGGATCTGGAGTCTCTGGGTCCCTTTTATTTATCCCCCTGCAGACCCCCCGGATCAATCTTCGGGAGCATGCCGAGCCTCCAATAGGAGATGGCATGCCCAAGTACCTTGCCATGTGCTGAATTGGGCAGTGTGCAACTTAAGTTAAGCTACCATAATAAAGCAGGACAGTAAGAACTATTGGTGTCTTCTAAGTACCAAATAACCTGAAAGGCTCCTGCAGACATGTAGTGGACAAAGAGCACGTGGTAGGTCACATGACATCACGCTCTCGATGCCGGCGCGATCCAAGCGGGTCTGGCCTTACAGCATTGGCGCAAACCTCCCTACCATTGCCGAACATCCGGGGTGCAGCGAGCCAGCGAAAGTTGTATCACAGCTATAATGAGGGCAAAAAGGAGAGCCCTTTGAGAAACCGGCGGCCATCTTCATCACAAAACATGATTCCTTCCTGAAATGCTTTTCTGTGCATCTGCCGGGTCACACGATCGGAGTAAGTGCGTGGCGGGCGGGAAAGAGTGCAAGACTGGAGACGCGTCCAGCTGTACCGAGTCTAAACTCTCCACCTGGAATGCGTGATGCGTGAGGTATGACAGTCGGACCAGAGAGGATAAACCAAGGCTTCAGCTCCGAACCGACAAGTCCATGAGTCCAAGAATCCAATAGGGGTCTTCATTGTCTTCATTGCTTTATTGATTCACTGATTGAGGTGCAAATCGACGCTGTCGAGACAGCTAGACATGCTGGCGAGGGTTCTGTTAGACACGTGCCCACATGTACTCTGCGTGAGCCACACGGATTGCCTGCAAGTGCCAGCTGAAGACACGACATGCCGAGATTCCATGTTGCTTCACCTCGCTTGGAGAGACCAGACAGGTTGATTGTGCAGCCCAAGCGACTTGCGATGGATAAATAAACTCTCCAACATCATCTCCGCGTGCTTTGCGCGAAAACGAAGCAACTTTGCAGAAGCTTCCCGCCAACAGCTGAAAGGCCACTTTGTGCCAAGCAGCTGCCGAGCCATACCCCGTTTGAGTGGCCCCAGGGCAAATCCGTCGCTTGTGAACATGGTTCATGAGTTACACAGATGGCTCTTCCATCTCTTGGCCTCTCGTTCGCGCCATGTCCGTGAGTTCCACTGCCTCGTACATTCAGACATGCAGGGGCAGCCTCTTACGTCAAGACAGGCCATGAAGTAATTCAGCCTCCTCTGGCTCCGAGGGCCTCGCAACATCAGATTGTACACAGGGCTTCCGAACAAAATGACGCCTCGCCTGTTTACCGAGGTGGTCTATTCTACTGACTGGCAGCACAGTAGCCAATTCAGGTTGACTTCACCATTACATCATCCTTGCTGTCTACGTCGCAGGCAAACTCGGAGATTGACCTTTCGTTCTCACGGAGGAGGCGAGTGTTGAGCGTCCGCCCCTGCAGCACCAGCAAGGTCAAGGATTCCGTCTTGTGAAGTGCTGAGCGGCTCGGAGGCCGACAGCCAGGCCATCATCTGCCAGGGTCAAAGCTGAAGACTCGACAAAAAGCAGCTCGGGCTTGGCCTTCCTCCGAGGACTCCTTCATAAGTAGAAGCCAATCTCGGGTCACTTGCTCTTCGATGGCCTTGGTAAGCACAGGCAAGCCATGCCATCACCATTGACATCTGGGCTCCGGCATAGAGAGTATCTTCATCGTCTGCCTGCATGCAGTCAACTCGGGTTCTCGGACAATTAGGACATGCTCCAGACCGACCGCACTGGTGCATCCAGCAAACACGCCACTTTTGCTCGCCCCGACCCCAAAGGCAGCTCAGATCCACAGCTCCCAGTTTCAGGAGCAAGGACTCCAGTAAAGGAACCCTTCTTCCCCTCACAGGGCCGGCTGGTCAGAGTCAGGCCGCGGGACACTGTCCTCCTCAATTGGAGCCTCTGCTGCCCCGGCCCCGCCCTTCTCGTCGAGTCTATAGTTCAGCAGGTCCAGCATCGTGTCCTTCGGGGCGCGTCTGTCGATCACAAGAACACAAAACTACACATCTCGATGCTCACAGCGCCAGGGCACCAGGAAGGCCAGAGAACGAGTTCGGAAGCAGGTGATCTCCGCGGCAGACATGCCGGTAACTTTGAACTCTGTCGACATGGTCGCATCAAACGCCTGACACACACGAAACGACCGAGAATCTCGATGTCTACAGCAACACTGTCAGAATGACTCCCTGAAGACAGCGATCAGCGCGGGCCTGAATGCCTTCCAAAATCTTAGCGCGTCTGATCTGGATCAGCTTCGTCAGCATCAGCAGGCTCTTCTCGCGAGCTGACTCGCTACCCCAGGCCCTGCGAGACTTGCGAGACTGCGGAGCACGGCCATTCATCTAGTCGACTCTATGATGACTCTATGTCCGTTGCAAGCTCTACTCTCTGTGCAACTCCACTTCATCCGACATCAGGAAAGGAAGTCCTTGGAATGGCCAACAAAGCCTCCGCAATCTCAATGTAGTGTCGCGGCACCTGGGAAATGTCATCAGCCTCTAACTCTAAGCCTCTAAGCCTTGGGCGATGAGGCACTGCCATGTGCAACTCCAAGAGTCGTTGCCGAATTTCAGGGGTTCGGCTCGCTCTTCCTTGCACATGATCTCCAGCTCTGATGCCTGCCGTGGGCACCAGCAGCTGAACAATGCTAATGCTCCAAAAAAATAAAGTCACCTGCCGCACTTGCCCCAAAAAAACGCCTATACCGTGTTCGGTGCTCCAATGCCTCGAGCCAATGTGGCAGTTCGATCTGGCACTCGTGCTTCGACGCGTACTGCAAGGCTGCCCACAGCTTCACCTAGACAGGTCAAATGTAGCTCCATAGTTCCCGCATGGTTACTTCTCGGATCTTCTTCTAACTCCTCTATCCCTGTCTTTGCCGCAGTGTGGGGTTGGCCTTCAGCGGGGTGTGAGCACGCAGTGGACCAAGCTTCCCTGCAAGCGAGACGGTGTGCGAAGCGCAAAATGCAAGCTTGCACGGACCTGAAATCAAGTCGACATCAGTCTCGGTATTGAGAGCGGGGACTATGGTGATCTCTTCGCAACAAAGGGCCTGCGCCAATCAAGATCTGCAAACAGGCACGGCTTCGACTTGGCCCTAGGCCTCCCATGTGTCGTCCGAAAGCAGCTCCAGTGGATCCTGCAACTGCAAAGATGAGCGAAGACTCGGGCAATGCAGCGGCAGGTGCCACAAGTCGGCTTTCCTTCCCATTGATGTCCAAGGTGTACTTAGAGGCGGGAGCCATTTCCTGAGGGTGGCGGAAAGATTGCTTCAAGAATTACAGCATGAGAGTTCGCCGCCCATATCGCCTGTCTCAAAAGCCCGTCTGCAGCGCTCGTGCGGGCGCATACAGTGCTCCGGACTGATCTACTCAACCCTTCCCGCTTGAGTCAGCAAGCCAAAAGGCAGAAAACATGCCGGAGTGAGACGGAACGACAGAGACCATAAGATTTCTGGCGTGACTCTGAGACAACACTGCATAAGGTCTGCATGCTGCGGCAGGGCCTGCACCGCCGGCAGTGGCTTACCTTGGAAATAAGGGTTCAACAGCCGCGGCTTGGGGAAGAGCGTTAAGAGAAGGGACACCGAAAAACGGCTCACGGTGATTAAGCAGTGTCAATTCGGTTTCAAAGTGTGCTCAAGCCGCTTAGTTTGCCAAGCGGATAGTGTTATGAGGGTCCGGACCAGTAAAAGCTGCCTCAGCTGCAAGCACGTTCACGATGTGTTCTGTTGTCGACCGAAGCGCTCTTACAAGCTTCATTCCTATTCTCTTTCTCAACAGCATTCACATTCCTGTAAACACTCCTAGATCCTCAAGAGGAAAAGAGGACTCTCAGAGGGGCACCTCTCGTCAGCAGGGACCAGGCTGCTCGGTGCTCCTTGCCAGCTGCAGCATCGACTTCACTTGCGCAGGGGCGCCCCCCCGCCCCACATCTGGCCTTGACGATGACCATGATGAAAGCATCCGTGGCAGCACAGCAGGTGATGAAAAACACCGCGAAGGATTCGGTCTCAGCGGCTGGGAGCATAGTGCGCCCGAGGCATATCATGCTGTCAGCATAAATGGGCAGAAAGTGCAGCAAATCATCAGAGTACGAAGCCGGGAACACGAGACAGAGAAGTCCAAACCCGCAGATGTAGTCAGACAGTCGTCATGCATCACTATTTCGGCGCTTGAGTGAAAGTGCATCATCTGCCCTTGAGAAACCTTCCTCTGGAGGCCCAGCGAGAAATCCGAACAGCACGTACAACAGCTCGGTCTGCAACGGGCACAGAGCTCAGTCACCAGCTACAAAGCTTATAGCACAGCGCCTTGCTCAATTTTCCTGGCCGAAGCTTGCGACGAAAAGCCGCACTCACCTCTCAGCAAGCAGAAGTCAGCACTCTTCGGCAGGCTTGCTCCCACAAGCACGGAGGACGCTTGATAGACTCAGGCTCCAGCACTGAAGTATGCTTCGGTCTCAGGCTCATCGCTGAAGACAAACATCCTAAGAGGGCGCCGGCTCTCAAAGACGATCTCTTCACCAAGTGGTGGAAACTCGGTCCATGGCACGATAAACACGACGGCCGCAAAAAGAACAAAGTAGTACAGCAAAAGCAGGTTGTTCACCAGACTCATGGCCTCATGAGGAGCTCCAATATGCTCGCACAAGTAGGGATAATCCGTCGCTTGCTTAAGATCTGCGCCCTGGGCACGGACATGGGGCGATGCAACCCGTACTTCATGCCAACCACGGAGACCTGCAAGGGAGCCAGGGCCACACTCTCACAAAGAAAACAGGAGCTCTCGATATGTTGCCATCAGGATACTGGGATTGTCCAGAATGCCATGGCTGCCAAGCCCAGGGACAATCTCCAATCCTCGGCGTGTAAGCATGGCCGGGTATCAAGCGAAACAACAAGATTAGGTCCACTCTTTTGCTGAAGCCGACCTTACATCCTGCTCTGCGGGTGAGCTCAATCGCCTGCCTTGAATGATCCAACTCTCAAACGAACTTGACCAGGTTCGGCCTGTTTATATCTTGGATTCTTCGTTGCAGCGCACCCATTGCTGCACAAGCTGCCGAGCACCTGTTACGTACGATGCCGATCCATCGTCAACTGCGTTGTTGTGACGCTGTCGCCAGTCTGATCGCGACAGCAATTAGTAGGTGACTCTGCTGTGGTTCTGCTCCCACTACATGCACCGATATTGCTGAGGCGTTTTTGATTTCTCATCCATAATCTCCTCATTCCTTTGTCGGTATTATTCTCTCATGAGGAGCAGCACTGGTTGTCGTTGTCGTGTCTCGGCTGATGGTCGGTGATTCAAAGACGTTGCAGCTGTGTAGCGGTAAGTCGCAGCATTGCTACAACAGAGGCTGCATCACTCAGACAGAAGACTCGTACTATCATGCTGGGGCAGCCGCGGAAGCTGTCTGATGCCACACATTGTTCAAAACCCAGGCTGCCGGGCCTCAGTAAGACTTCCTGTCTGCATCCGACGGCATAGGTATCTGGACATCAGCCAAGGCTCTGTAGACCATCGTGAAAAAGTAGGAGAAGTACCCTGGCACGGTCATGCCTTTTCGATTCCGAGCAAAAACTGCTGCTATGTGCACCTGGGATAGTGGACTGTACGAAGATCAGCTTTGCTGTCCACGCGGATATAAGAATGCCAGGCCTGCAAGCAGTAGTGACACATAACTTCAAGAAGCGAGCCAATGTGCTTGCTTACAGCGCTGGATAATTACAAAAGATCCATGCAGGTTGACAACACAGACACTACGAGTCGAGCCCGATGGCGAGAACATGGCGCAGGATGTTGTTCAAGCCTCAGCTGAATACAGCTTTAACCGTGCTCTGCAAAATCCGTGCGCTCCAACAAATTTCGACATCCACAGTAGGCTCCTGACTCTCCGCAGCTTCCATGGCACAAAACCCAACGGTGGCGACCTCCTTGGCCTCACCCCGGACAGCCCGGCCACAGACCCTACGCCGCGGGCGTCACAAAGCAAAGCAACGTCTGGCGACAGAAACGAGTTGCATCAAGATCGCTTCCTTGAGTGCTTAAGTGCCGCGAGGCCACTGTTGCCCAAAGCTTGGGAGAGTGTCTTTCCAGCAAGGTCTCATCCAGCAGCTTGGAGACCTCGCGTGGCAATCGTGCGGCCAGATCTGTTCCAAGCTGCCGAGCCGATTCTCGGGCATCCGGCCACTTCCCGGGCCTCAGCAAGACACCGTGAGGTCAAGAAGTGCAGGTGTGCGCATGTGTGTGTTTAAGGAGCACTGGCACACTGCAGCAGCATTGCAGGCATAAGTCTTTGTAAGGCGACCGCATGCTCTGACTGGTCGACGCAGGCCTGCTTAATGTAGCTCCAGCAGAACCTTAGCTGAGATGACAGAGTCTCGGTGTGGTCCAAGGCGCGACGCACTGGCCCTGGGTGTTCTGCCCATCGGCACAACGACAGAAGCCTCCGCCAGCAGTATAGTTGGAATCACAGACCTTCAGGGCACCACACTGACACAAGCTAACTCTTCATGTCACGATTGTCACCACCCTGACAAACATGACACGATGCTCCGAGTTCGACACCTGGTTGTCGGAACACCTCGTCTGCCTTCAATCGTTCGTTCATTCACCAAACAACACTATCGTCAGTCAAGGCTTGTGACAGTTAGACAAGAGCAACGGAGGCACAGGATGAGAAGTGAAAGGAACTTGACGGTATGTTGGTTTCAGCTTTCAATTGAAGCAAGCCGACCAGCTTTCTGCTGGGAGCCGAAGAGGGAGCGAGTTCGAGGTGTTCCAGGAATACCGGAATTGTGCGATAGTGCGCTGCGCAAATTACACCGGCAGATTCTTACGCTGTCGCGACCGAACATATCTGGCACGTGCATCACATGTCACTGTCATTCACTACAGGCCACAATGCATGTCACGGGCGTTCCACGGTGCCCTAAGGCCAGGGCACATTCGTAGCCGGGTCAATACAAGGAACGCCCACAAACTCACCTGGGCACTTTCACGGAACACGGGCACAACACACAGACACACACTCACATGCACATTGCTCTAATGCGTGGCGACGGAATGCGGTCCCAGGCTGTCTGAAAAGAATCTCACATCGTTCATCATCGTTCACACCGCTGCCAGAGCTTTGCGCAAGACAAGGCACAGAAGAATGCCAAGCGACTTAGGAGATCGTCATCGACTAGCAAAGGGCCTACACCACATGGACTCCGTCCTGCACCTACTCACGGTTGCCAGTCGAGAGGCTGCAAGTCGAAAGCTTCACTCTGGCGCCTGAGTTTCCAGCTGCATCGAAACCGGCACATGTGATGAAATGCAGAACTGGGCGGAGCGCCGTCTGTATCATCATCCGAGCTGTCGTCATCGCTATCTTGCGATGGCGAGCCTCGAAGACAAGCTGCTGAGCGGAAAGCAGTTCAAAACGCTAAAACGCATGCGACCTGCCGAGCCAATGGCTATCTTTCAAACGCCGTGTAGTTTGAGCTCCCCTGTTAGACCCCGCGTCTGTGTGCGTTGGAGTCCTCACATTGCAGTGACCGAACATTTGTGTTCAGATTTCAGTGGTGCAAGTCCTGAGTTGCCCATGTGGCACCAAGGACCAGTCGCTAAACTGGCCTCCAGGAAGTGCGCAAAGATTGCACTGCAGAGGGTGAAGATGTTCAGGGACACACGCACCACCTACGAAGCCGAAATGCCGTGCAGCTGCCCCGCCTGAGCCTGAGACATGTGCTCGGCACTGCTGTTCCAGACGAACGGCATCGAACTGCCTCTGAGAAGCTGCTAGGCATCAAACTCATGCACAGCAAGCTAACAGCCAACGTTCTCCGTCATCTGGTCTTGGACCGAAGATGCACGAGAGCCCCAAGACCAAGATGTCAGGCTTTCAAGAGCCGAGGTTTGCACATAGCATGTCCCTTGACTTCAAGCTGGAAATGGAGCTCCGTGATGTCCGGATCCCTGAGGGTCAAGCGACACCGCTTTGCACTCCAAGCCGGGCAAAGGATAGCAGAAACTCCTCCTGGTTCCTATATTCATGCAGGCGATCTGGGGCCTAGGCTCGTGAACAAATGGTTCGTTGACACCCGCAGAAGACCAGTCCCCAATGATCTCGGTGGTTGGGGTGTAGCGAATGCGGCCGTCTATGCCAAGAGGGAGCTGCCCACCTGGGATTTGCGAACGGTCGCTGGACATCTTTGGCTTCAGCCACATGCCGAGCATGGTTGCCAGCATCACAACTCAGTAGGGTTCTCTAGCAGCAACAGAGGCAGTTGCTGGTCGGCCCTTCGACGGTCACACGAAAGTTGCAGTCGAACACCGGGCTCAGCGTCAGAAGCCTGTCCAAGAGCGTGGACTACTTCGCCCAGCAATTCCAATTCTCTTGCTGCCCTGTCGCAGGTAAGACGCCAGTGCAGGCATGGCTCACATGGCAATCACGGCACCAGCATAAGCTTATGAGCTTTGAGGTTTTGTCCGTTACACTACGGAAGAATAGCCCAGCCCCGCCCCGATCATGCATCGTGATCATTCTCGTCTCTACATCACCAATACCATCAGCATCACCTGCACAAGAAAAACAGTAAGAAAAACCAAAAAACTGCGATTTATCTTGCGTCGTTCACCGCATGGTAGATGAGTTACAGTGACCTACAGTACATACTCAACTATGCCCGCAGAGATCATGTCTGGTCACACGTAACAATATACACCAACATGGCCCATTGGACCACACACGGGCGATGACCTGCGCAGGCTCCTTCAGTTCAAACCCTCAACTGCTCATGCAGACATGTGGGCAGGGGTTTTGGCAGCAGACATGAAAACAGCAGGGCCGTCCAGGCCCAAGAGATCCGAACCCCCCCTCGCAGGGGACAAACGCCGATGGGCGCACACCATACTGGACATAACCAGATGAAGAATATATGCTCCTTGCAACTTGCCACCCATCGGGGCGGGCGGGCGGGCAAAATTTCAGCAGCTCGACCTGAAGCAGTGGATACACTTGAACACACACGGCACCTGGCAAATAAGCTGCAGGCACAGGACATGCAAGGCTGCAGTGATCAACGAGGGTTACGCGTGTGCCTTGGCCTAGCCCACCGAACCCCAAGGCAAACACCCCTCTTAAAATTGGAGCCGAAGCTTGGCTCGTGTAACTTTTGCACTGTTGGTGAGCTCAGTAAAGCCTCCAAATCAAGGCACTCTTTGCAAAATGTCGCACTAGTCTGCTAGAGCACAGCAGCATTTCGCATCAGCGTGTGCATTGGTACTGAGACGGGGCAGGGGGTGGTAACCTGCTAGCACGCAATCTTTCACGTCGCCATCAGCATCGTCATCGGCCCCAACGCATGACAGCACTGGCCGAAATACTTTAGGTCCGGAGAAAATAAGCCAAAAGATACAGAAGTTGGAGTCGTTCGAGCGCAAGCTCGGTAGAGGAAGCCACTCGTCAATAGACTGAGCCAAGTAATTACTCGGCCAAATGATCCCATTTGTTGACGAACTTGTTGCAGGCATCGCACCAGCTTAGAACTGCAGCTGTGCGCTCCGCATGTGACTGCAATCCATGCGGGGCATGTGCGTCTCTAAGTTAAGTAAGACAGGGCAATACGCTTCCACTTGCTCAAGGAACAGTGCGCCTGCCGCTCACCGACAACTTGTTCATGGTGCCAGCAAAGTTCAACATGCTTCCTCGACAAGCCGGGTAGCTTCCACTCAGAGCTGATTTGCTGGTTCCGGATGATCTGGGACCCTGGGCTTCTTCATCTTGAGAGGCATGCCGTGGATCAGACTACATTGCAAAACAACCTGCCCGCCTTCGAATTTTTCTGGTTCTCGATCCGGCCTTTCCACCTTTCCTGCAACTCCCAGTGCCGCAACACAGCGTTGTTCCTGGCACCAAGGCTCCAGCTGAATTCTTTGCAAGCCCTGCTGTGGCATTCAGTGCTGTGGGCCGCCCACTCTGCGAAAGAGCATCCCGTTCGTGTGGCACATGTCATGCCTTATCGCAGGCAAAGTCGCACAGCACGGCCACCCGCGCAAAAAACACTAGACTTGTTGTTGCTGTGCTGACAGGGAGCCTCTCCTTCCCATCACGGCCGCATGGGGTCGTGCATTTATCCTTAGACATGATCACGTTAGTCGCGAGTGCTGTTGCGAATGCACAGGCGTTTTCAGGTTCGCTTTGTTTTGCGCACAATTTGAAGGGGAAGATTACGCGGATATCTTGACGTGGTGTTCTGAATACATCATACTGACTTTGTCTTGGATAGTCATGAACCCAATATCGTTCGACCGCATGGTGCGATGTCGCTCGGGCTTCCGCGTCAGGCTTTTCGAAAGCCTCTGCCTCACCCGGAGGAAGACCTGGACACGTGCAACGCCATATATGTGAACATATGGTAGTCGCAAAGCCTGTCACATGGAGTGTTGTGCTTGCCAAGCCCAGCAGACAGCACGAAAACTCACCACTTGTGCACACAGTTCTGGTGACAAGGGCCTGAGTTTCAAGCAACGGGTCACTTCTGAGGCTTGGGCAGAGGTCGAAATCCTCTTTGCAAGGAACCCCCCAATAGTCGAATACGGCCTGCACAAGGTATGCCAGCCGCACAGCGTTTGCTTCATGTGTGGAACTCTGCCGAGCAGCCGTTTCGCACCACGGGTATGGGCTCCTGCCTGCAGGCAACGTCACAGGTCGGCTTTCACATGGTACCAGGTATCAGAAAGTATGAACCCTTTTTGCAGCAGGCTTCTCGCGCCCGGAACAAAGATATGAACCCCTGTCTCTCTCTCTCTCTCTCTCTCCCGGGCATGAGGGCGGGTCAACGCCCTCGGGCCAATGGCCCCCCCGCTGTGTTAACGGGTGTGTGAGGGGTGAAGAATGAGTCAGGAACACAGTTTCGGCTAGAGCCATAAAGTAAATACGATAACGTTAACTGTGTCCCATTTGACTCTCACTTCAACACGTGCATAGTCATTCTTATATCTCCCCCTATTCAAGTGCCAAAGTAGATCACATCTGGTGCCAAAGATCGTAACAATATATAGGGGGCATAAAGGATGACTCCGGGAGGATGATTATGTAAATGTCTGCAGTTCCCCCGTGATGCCGAAGTGTTTTTGCAAACAGTGGGACACACAAAGGAAAGCTACTGGCATGTCAGGGAAAAAGTAGATTACAAGATATCTTTGTTGCGGCATCACTGTTCGGGGTTGTATAGGTCAAGGAAGTCTCAGGGTTGGGAGTCCACCGGATTTCGGAGTGAAAAACAATGACACAGCTATACCTTTGTGGCCTAGAGGCTAAGCATGTGTAAAGCAAGGACTTACCGATGGACCATTCCCCCGTTGAAATGTCTATACTGCTTGCATCATAAAACACATAGGAATAGAGGTTCATCACGAATTCGTTCAAATGCAAGCACCACAGACTGACTGAGGCCCAGGTCTCTCTCTCTCTCTCTCTCTCACAGGCACTCGAAGCGTCAGGCCTGGTCGAAGGGCAACATCTGAACCCCTAAACCCTGAATCCCCCAAAACCCTCAAACCCATTCTCAAACGAGGGAGGAAGGAGGGAGAAAACGGAGCACCAGGAGCTGCTCTTCTGGGAAAAGTATCTAAATACTTAAATAACTACCAAGAATACTACTTTGCGAGCTCCTTAGTATAATTATAGTCAAGTTATAGTATAATGGGCCCCAAAATATCCTATTCTAACTTCTAACCATTAAGGCCCATGTATCATGGTACCCTTATAGATCCCTTATAGTAGCCCCTATAGACCCCTTTAAAGGAATCATAAGGAATCCTATTCTAACTATGGGAACAGCGCCTGCAGCGGATTTTTTCAGGAGCTCGGCCGGCCGGACCCGGCAGTCCGAGTCGTAGCCCAAGCCTGGCACTGAGGGACTCCGATATGGGAGTTTCCGAAAGTTAGGGGTACCTTTAGAGGGATCCTTATATTAGGGTTCCTTAAAGGGATCTATAAGGTTTCTATAAAGGGTTTAGGGTTAGAGTTTCCAAAAATTCGGGGTGCCTTATTTTGGGGTCGGTGCAGACGGGACCTTCGTGGACCCTGCGCATGCCCCCCCCCCCAAAAAAAACGCATTTTGGGGTCCTTATACTCAGGATCCTACTATTTAGGGTACTATTCTGGGGCACATCCCGTAGTTAAGGAAGACTTAGGGACCTGGGGTTCCTTTAAGGGATCTTTGGGGCTTCGGCGCTCACAAGGTTTCGGGTTTTGTAGAGACAGTTGAACACGAAGTAAACCCGTCGTGTTACAAGACAAGCAAAAGCAAGCACAACTGAGCACTTGTTTTACTTGAGCCAAATCATGTTCGTGTGCGTCGTTCAAGCTGCTCTTCATCTACCTCTAGTAGGACGCTCTTAGCTACATCATGCAAGGGCCTGGGGCTCGAGTACTGTTAACTCCCCCCTTGAAGACAGCGTGAAACGCTACACTGAACTCTGTTACGCAGACTACCTACTTGGTGGAACTACCACTTTGCTCAAAAGTGAAATCCAAGCTCTCTGAGCTTCAGCTGGCTGTCGACTGGCAGCCTACTCACGTTTCTGGGGTGAAGGCAATTAAGACGATTCTATTGCCTTTTGTGCAAGGAGTCGTCGCGTGTAACCGTCTTGGATCGAAGACTGCTGGCCATTTAAGAATCTCACCCCTTTCTCCTCGACTGAGGTCTGGGCAAGGGTAGTCACCGCTTTGTGACTGGACCCATACATGGCCCCCCTCGAATACTTCAAGTGGGATTACAGCATTCTTGCTGCATGGCTCGTTGTAAGAATCCTTATGAGTCAAGGTGATTTGATTCTTGGCCAACATCACTGCAGTAAACTTATGCTTAGGCAACACCCTACGGATAAACCTGCACAAAACCGAAGTGACAACTGGGAAGACGGTTACATTTTGCCTTAAACCTGCGATCCCACCTCCGTGCGCGAACGCACCGGTGGTGAAGCACATTGCCTCACTTGCAGAGGGGCGCACAGCGCTCTCCCCTGGCAAGTATGACAAAAGCTGCACAAGGTCCTCTTGTGTGATCTTCCGAGGCAGTGAGCTTGCAAAGCGTTCTGCTTCCTCGACTACGACCCTTGAGACGGTCGCGTGGTGAGGGACGCCTTCATTCAGACACAACTGTGTGAGCATGTCAGACCACTCAGCAGGAGGGATGATCTTAGTCAAACCATTAGCTAATTGATCCGTACTGTTCACGTAAGTAGCCGAAAAATCTTCTTGCTCAAAGATCTCTGCCATACTTGCCACGTTTACGCGGTGCACGCGCCCTAAGTGGCGAAGTTTTGGGCTGTATCCTGACTTCAGGATGGCCAAGACAGTTTCATTGTCTTGATAGAAGATGATTGGCACTGTGCTTTTGAAGGCTGACTGTAAGAACGTCTGCAAGTTTATGACCTCGGAAAACATGGCTGATGCCATTGAAATCATTTCGGCCTCTGGCGTCGATCTCGCAACCGACGTTTGCTTGCGACTTTGCCACATCACAGGGAATGCGTGTTGACCCGTGCCTATGTGGACTACGATCCCGGACGTGCTACGTGAAGTGTAGGGACAAGCTGCGAAATCAGCATCTGTATACACTCGCAGCTCGGGAGCGGCATCCCAAGAGCAACTGGCATTCATGCAAACATCTCTGGTGTGATGAATGTATGACCCAAGTCTAAGTACTTGTCGGTCCTCCCAGGCAGTCCACCTAGTGACCCTGGAAGCTAGGCGAGTTACCGCAAACGAGATGTCAGCTCTGCAGAGACGAGCTAACCACAAACAGCGCATCAAGATGCGTGATGCTGAATCGTGGAGCTCGCCAGGTGCTGAGATCTCTTCGTCTGCCATTGCTGATTCAGCGATGCAAGGCGTGGTCACTCGACGAAGCTTGTCGGGTGTCGTCCCGGTGATGTCGCAATAGGTTTGGACGATCTGCTCAGCATACTCAGGCATCTTAAAGGCCATTGTGGTTGACGACGGGTCGTCGTACCGACAATGCAGTCTACCTAAGATCCGAACACCCTCAGAACCTATAAAACACTCGGGATCAAGCTTGACTTTAGCCCTCAAAACTTGCCAAAATGGCGTGTGCAATTTTGTTAATCCGCACAAGCTCAAATCATCGACGGAAATGTTTAAGATGAGAACCCCATCCTTGTACTCAAAGAACCAGTTGCTTGGAAACTCCTGGGACTCCTTTCCGCCTAATTAATGAGATCAAAATCCTAGACAAATACTCTTGCCAGAGCCGTCCGGCCTGTGGATGGCCGTAAAGGCTCTTGCGAAGTCGAACGACTATGCGCGCTTGCGCTCCAAAACGCTCCTCCCAGCCGGGGAGCCATAGCTCCCTTGGTAGGATTACGCATGTCTCTTCTTTAAGCTCTGATTGGAGGTATGCTTGGATTGCGTCAGAGCAGGACACAGAGTGCTGTGGTAAGCAACCCCAGAAGAGGGAGGCGTTCAAGGCTATTAACCCCGTTGGAGTCGTCCTGGTCTCTTCGAAGAAAACCAGATTGTTGAACTCATCCAAAACCCTATCCCCTCTATAAACAACTCTCCCTTTGAACTTTTGAAATTCAGGTGCAAGTTCGGCATGCTTTACCCCGCACAAGGTCATCAGTTCCGCTACGCGAAGCTTGCGTCCCTGAGACCTGGCCTGACTTCTCAGCTCATGCAATGGCATGGCTGTTGTGTCATCCCATGTGCCGTTTCGGCGCAATCCCTCTGCTTCTTGAGTAATGGCTTCAAGCGCCTTCGGCTCAACTTCCCATTCTGGGCGAGAGAGATTCTTGGTGATAAGCGTGCTAGCTTTACCAAGATTGGGGACACTTTTGAAGTACCTCTGGGGAAACAAGGACTGTATCACGAGATCTGCAAACTCATACGCCTTGATGTTGGTTGCATTGATCCCTGACGACTCCTTTATTGACACCTTTGCGAAGTGCTCCAGTACTCGCTTGGAGTTTGAAGCGATAGTGATGGCTTTGTTGCCGCTAACACAGGCTACACTGGAAAGCTCGTGTTTCGAAGCGAAATCGATCCACTCAGGCTGCCTAAGCACCCCTGAATCAGAACTCCACTGAAACGAAACTCGACCCCCCTGCTGGCTCAATGATATGGTCGGCAACATTTAGGGCCAAAACCAACATTCGCTGGGATGTTGCTTGCCTTTGTACAATCTTTCGCGCGTACTTGGGACTTTGGGATTCGCGATGTACGGCTTGATGCGAAGACATATGTGTGCATGGTATGGTGAACCAAGCATCTACACCTGGGATTGCTTGGGAAACGACTTGTTGCATGTCATCCTGCGAAGTCAAGTCCAGCGTTGACTGGGACAGACTAACACAATGAACCTTACAACGTTCACAAGCGTCTCTTATCTCAGACTCGTCTTCACAAGCATACTCGATCAGAACGTTTTCCCCTGGAAGTTCCTTGACCCTTCTGGTGTTGTTACGCGCTCTCTCATTTGCGAGAAACCTTGCACTCAAACCAAACTCACCTGTTGGAGCTTTGCTTTCCGAAGACTGAACCACAACACCAGCTGGAGCCCGTGGGCCAGCAGAGGAGCTCGCGCGCTCTGGAGCATCCTCATCACCCTCGGGGGCTGCAGGTGCAGACTCCGCCGAAGGATCAGGGCGCTCAACATCAGGCGGTGCCGCGTCTCTGACTGACTTGCTCGCGGCAATCTTCTCGGCTTTAATCAAACCATCGAATCTTGCCTTACATACTGGCATGTGTACTGTTCCATCGAACCTGCAGGCTTTACAACCAGGTGTTGCGCCTAGTCGCATGAGCCTATCTAAAGTGATGTACTCGTGGCGGTTGACTACGGGTGTTGACGGCGCTACCGTGCTGAACGGCACATCAAGAAATTCGATGGCTTCATACTCGGCCTTCGTGAAACTAGACAAAGCAGCTTCTGCAGCGGTGAACATCGGGAGGATGGGATTACCGCGGGGAACATGGATCTCCTCTCTAGGGACGGAGATCGTCTTTTCGTACCCCGGTTCACGGTTCTTTAGCTTACCATAGTCCAAGACATAATAGACTTCTCTGAAAGATGATGGACCACTATCGAACCGCCAACCTGCAAAGACACCTGGCGCTGCTGATGCCTGAAACTTCTCATGGTTTGCCGGGTCAAGTCTGTAGTAGACGAGTTGACCAAGTTGTAGTTTCATGCCACCAAACTCGGATCCAGTTGCGTTCACATACCGGCCACCCTCAATCCCAAACGCAGGGTGGAAAAGGTTAATGGTGTGTGCCGCATAGCGAACAGTGTGGACCCAAAGACCCGAATGCAACTGAAAACCTGCCGCAATGTGGAGAGCTCTTGTACACTCCTCGATGGTACGGATCTCCCGTTCGAGAACTGAGTTGTGAGGCCATCTTCGCTCAAGGCTTGGTTCTGAAGTAAACCCCAACGTCGCACATGCGGCGAGGAGTTCTCGCGCATTGTCGCTCTTGAACAATACACAAGGTCCAGAAGCACGCCTACCGAGAAAGGATAACAATGATCGTACCACCCCGTCTTCGTGCCTGGACACTAACGGGAATGTTCTTATGTACCCTGTGGCCTCATCCCTCACAGTCAGGACGACGGTTTCAGTGCTTCTAGAGTCTTTGTGCACGATGATGAAATCAGCCGCTATCCGTTGACCAAACTCTTCAACCAGATCTAACTCATCATCACACCTTGCATAGCGCACCCTCGCCGTCCGTTTCTTTAGCATTCGGCTCCGACTGCAGACATCACAGTAGAGGTTCTTTGGCATATGCGTTAAGCGATGCTCTAGACTCTGGGCTTCAGTGATTAACCGTTGAGCCTTGGTTGGTGCATATTCATCACCCTCATCGTCAGCACCGGAACCTTCCCCTGGATCAGGTGGAGAGGAGGGTCCTCTGCTGGGACCGCGGGTGCATCAACCTCTGCTGGGGCTGCCGGGGCAGACTCACCAGCGGCTAAGGCTCTATGCAAACCGTCACCACCAAACCTGATCTGCTCACGAAATACCGGAACATAATCATCAACCTTATGGGCATAGATGGCACGATCCGAATCCCAAGTGATCTGGATGCAATCTTCACCAGTACCGAAGAACGGCATGCCACCAGGAAGCCAAACAAAAGGTTTTCGCTGCAACTCTACTAGTTGGCCTGAAGACCGCACTACCGGGCAGCTTTGCAGAACATAGGACTCTACTGATCCAAAGGCATCGCTCGTCGTAGTAAGGAAGGTGCCACTGCTCGTAACACCATTCCCGGTTTCAAACTGCAACGGCTTCGTTGACTGGATGTGATCACTGAACATATCAGTCAAAATGCCCTGATCTGCAAGCGCGGATTGGCTTAGCAGGCTTCTCCCTGCCCCAGAATCAGCAACCCAATCAAGGAAGTACGACCCCCCTGAACAGTTAGGTCTACTGACTGTCGCGGCAATGCGATCATGCTAATGATGAACAGTTGCGGGCAATGCAAAAGAAAGTGCTGCCGCGAAGCGAGCAAACACACGAAAGGGAGCGGTGATCAAGCGACATGTGGCTTTGAAACCGCGAACAAATGATGAAGGGATGTTGCATGCGCTCGCGCCCGTCGACGCGGCTGCCAACATGGCGACTCCGGCAGGCACCTTTGGGGTGGCCTTTGATGGAGCAGCTTTCTTTGGTGCATCTACATGCTCAAAAGGGCAATCCTTTCCCCTAGTGCATGTTCCCTTTGGGTAGAAGAAGCACGCTGGCCTTTGGCCGGATTGTTCTGCTGACGAATCCTTTGCAGCTGGAGGCTTCTGAGGTTTAGCCTTGCTATCCTTACCCCCGCCTTTCCCTTTACCTTCGCCTTTGTCCTTGTTGGCACCCTCACCGGCACCACGATTGGCGTCGGGGACTCCTGGAGTTGCTTTGCTCGGGGCCTTCGGGGACTTGTCATTGCCTTGGCCTTTGGCCTTAGCCTTTGCATTTGCCTTTGCGGCGGGAGCGGCGGGCGTAGCCTTAGCCGCGGCCGCTTTCGCATTTGCATCTGGTTTCGGCTTCTGTTTGGAATCCTCTTTGAGCGAATCCTTGAGCGCTTGCTCGTTTCGATCCTCACGCACTTCTGCGAGAACCTCTTCAAGCCCATTCCAAATGTACTCAAATGTCCTACGCTTGGAGCCTGGCTTGGCATCTTTGACCCGGTCAATGGTGCGTGAAAGCATCCTGCATCCCTTTAGCCGTGAGTAGATCCAGGAAAACATTGTTTCGGCGTCTGGCCATTGCCGCTCCGGCAAGCCATTCAACACGTACTCGACGCGTTGTTTGAAGGCTACAAGCGATTGGTAGGAAAATGAGTCGGGTTCTAAATCGAACAAGGATTGTAACGTCACCAATGGCCCGCGCACTTTATCTATCCGGTATCTTCTGCTAAGAATGGACAAGAGTGCACGACCCGATGGCATCGTTCCAGACGAATGACATCTTTCCAAGTACGACTGCGCTTGCAATCCCCATTCACCTTTTAGGTGTTTCGCATCACTGATACATGCGGAGATCCACCCATCAAGTCTAGGCAAACCCTCACAATCCTGCTGGAGCGACCGTGTCAACCTGATGGATCTAGGCTCTTTTCAAGCCACTTCAACAGGACGGCTTTGCCGCTGCAATCTATTGACGCAATCTGTGTTAGCACTGAATTGCGGTAAGCCCTGAACTCAACGCTAGAACCCGGAATTTGGGGAAGCTTGATGTCTTTCAGGTCTTTGTACTTATAAATGCCGGACTCGTAGTCTCTGTCATCCTCAGGCTCGTGCGCCACAACGGGGACGATTGGATCATCCTCGAAGTCTTCTCCGTCCTCATCATCCTCATCATCACCATGCTCATCAAAGTCATCTTCATCTGCTATGTCGAAGACTTGGGGCTTGAGCTTCTGCGGAGGAGCGGGTGTTGCGGAATGCAATCGACCCGTGAAGATGCTCTTACGGCTGCATTGGTACGGTGGCAATCCAAACTCAACCGGACTCGGGGCAACGAAACCACTAGAACCGGAAGCCTTAGCGGGAATTGGAGACGCAACTGGTGGTGCAATGGCCCTAGCTGTAGCCTCGGCTTTAGCTTTCTGCTTCTTTGCTTTGGCTTTGGGACTAAGGGCTACTTCAATTGCCTGTTCAATCCTTCGCATTGTTCCCCCAACCTCACCAGCGAGTGCCTGCAATGCGTTGAATGCAGACGCAGCCTATCCGCGCCATTTTGGGTAGAGCTCGCTGGGATAGCTGATGCGGGGATGCTTGGGTTCTTTGGTTCGGCAGCTTGCACATGCGACTGAAGCGCGATTAGCTGTTGATGCATAGCCTTAGAAAACTCTTGCTGCTCAAGGAGCATCTTAGCTTGCTTTTCGAGTCTCTGGTTGAGCTCACGGTTCATCTCTCCTAGCTGTTGATTCTCAGTTCGGAGGTTTCCGATCACCGTCTCAGCTTCACCCTGAATCACCGAAGCGCGTGAACCCAACTGCTGGTTTTCGGACCTTAGCGCCTGTGTGGCGACATACGACTCACCCTGAATCGCGGCGGCCTGGGCACCTAGCTGTTGGTTCTCTGATCTTAGAGACTGAATCACGGCTTCAGCTTCACCAAACACGGCTGCTGTCTCAGCTCTCGCGTTCATGATGGCAGTTGTTGCTTCGGATTGCATGTTCGCATGGGTTACCGGGTCAACTCCAATCTGAAGGACCTGCTGCCGATGGGCATGTTGATGCAAGTGCAACTCCTGATGGCTCGTGTTCGGGCCGGTTGGGTTTTGACTACGGGCAGGGCCAATATTCGCTGCAAAGGTTGGTGCCGGTTGCAGGGATGAAGACCTCGATGCGGGTCCATACGACAATGATTCTAGCCCGGTTCCTCCGAATCGGCCCCGAACTTGACGAATCCGAATGTCTAACCGCCTCCGGGCGCACGCTAAGTGCTGGAGCCCTAGTGGGTGTGCTTGACGAAGAAATTTCTAGTGAGGATTCTTCGAATCCCAGTTGTGATGCTAGAGGCATGATGGGAACGGCGGTTCAACCGAGGTCTAAGGGTTGTAAAAATACTTCACCCCAACCTTCCAAGTCGACCCTCAACAATCCCACATCCGAGGCGCTGCGAATGCAGTCTGCTCCAATCCCGTTTTAGATGCCAAGATCGTACCACAGCACTTGGTCGAGGCTGCGCCTGTCTGACGGCCACCAGCAATGTCCGGTACAGCCCGGGTATCGAGAAACGTCGCTGCAGATATGCCCCTGATCGTCCACGTGGTGGATCTCTACCTCACCACACCGTGCCAAACTGGACAGCCGATCGCCCTTGCCGTTGCGGTCAACCTTCTCAGATGTAACCAATAAAGAAATCACCCGATCCGGAACGCCAACGAAAGAAGATGGGTCCAGTCCCTCGACAACGCGACGCACGCTGTCTCTCACCGTGTCCTTACGGGACGCCGTCACGGCAAAGGAGCAAATCAGCACGCTGGTATCAGGATATGTGCTCAAGACGCGCTGCACGGTCTCGATACTACCAGCAAAATCCCGGTCCAATACAAGATGGCAATCCAATGACACGACACGCGTAGCTCTCTCGGCCTGTAACAAATTTGCAATGTGCCGAAGAGAGAGGGATTCGTTAACGCGCACGGTCCGCTGAGGCAGGGGTTCAGGAATCGAAGAGCTAGCCGGCTCGGCTTCTGCAGGTGCCTCGTCCTCCACCGTGACAGTCACGAGTGGCTCAGCTGCCTCCTCCAAATGCCCAGTGCGCCTCCTCTTGAGGAGCGGATTGTCCAAAGTGATCGCGCGATGTCCAATCGGCACGTAAGGGCCAAGGTTAGGAGCAGAAGATGGCGGGATTCCTGTTTTAGGTTTGGGGATAGGCGGTTCTGGCGGCAACTCTCTACCACTCGGGAGCGAACCCTTGCCCTCTAGCCCTGAAGATCCCGCAATCCCTACCGAATCACTGCCCGAGGCACGACGCGCTGGGGGAGGATATGGAGGCTCACGCGGGCCAATATCAAGAGATGGCTCGGAAACACCAGGAGTCTCCGGAGCCACTGAAGAAGATGGCGCGGTGGCAATAACAGGGAAGAGCGAAGGTCCAACTGGCGAGATCTGGAACTCAGGAAGCGGCTGGTGATGCGTAGGAAAGTTACCAGCCTTCAGCCAATCGACGTACCCCTGTGCCTCCCTCTTATTAGAAGCGTCCACCGGATGCAAAACGCCGACCTCCTGCTCAAGCTGCTCCAATTGGGCTAAGAAGCCCCCTACAATCTTCAAGTGCAGCGACTTCCTTGCTCGGCGATTGGTGCCGCTCTCGCCTCCGCGCTTCTCAGCGTTAAGAAGAAGAACGTGTTTGAGCTCCAATCGCTGCTCTGGGATAACGCTTTCGCCGGTTGCATACAATGGCCCAGGGGGCAGCAGAGTATCAGCAGCGGGAAATCCAAGAAAACAAAAGCACGCGTGCACAAGGCTCAAAGCTGAAGCCCAAAGTCTTTCGACACTGATTGGTATGAATAAGAGTAGATTTGCTGTGCTGCCGGAGCAGACTACAGCTGGGATGAGGGACTGAGGAAGCGGTTCGAAGGTCAAGCACAGGGAAGACCCACGCTAACCCAAACCAGAAATCTCAATCAACCTCCAATCTCAGCTGAACTCTTACAGGAGGGTTGCTGGGATGCAATCTCACTCCTGACTCGTTTCGGTTCTGTTCTGATCTCTACCGGATTGCCTGTTGCACCACAAGGCCTGGCCTCCTTTGTCCGTGAACGGGACTACGGGAGAGGTGCGAAGGCAGGGCTTTAAGAAAACCCGAAGAAGGTTACCACGCGGACGCCTCAGCAAGCAGGCGAAGCACGCAGCAGATTTGGACCTCACAGATAATGAGCAAAACCAGGCTGCGATGCAGGCTCTGGATGGAATCTCAACTGTAGGGTTCTGGCTCTAACCCCAGGAGATGACAGTGCACGATATGAAAAGGAGTATGGAAGCGAGCAGGTCTTTGCTAGACCTACGACGAACCGATTTCACGCAACCTTGCTAGTTGCTTGCAGATATGGAATGCACAGACACTAGGCCTGCGCGAATGGCACTATGGCTCGCAAGGGGTCCTAGACTCTCCCTACACGACCACAGTTCGTAGTATGAAAATGCTGAGGCTGTTAACCAGTTGAACACGAAGTAAACCCGTCGTGTTACAAGACAAGCAAAAGCAAGCACAACTGAGCACTTGTTTTACTTGAGCCAAATCATGTTCGTGTGCGTCGTTCAAGCTGCTCTTCATCTACCTCTAGTAGGACGCTCTTAGCTACATCATGCAAGGGCCTGGGGCTCGAGTACTGTTAACTGAGACTCCGATATCCCTGACTTGGATAGTTATAAGCAGGGTCATAAGTAGGGTAACCATACATGTAACCTGTATTAAGGGACGTATAACCCGACTTATAACTACCCATGAACCTCCAAGTAAGGAATACTTAGGGACCTAGGGTTCCTTTAAGGGATCTATAAGAGATCTATAGGGCTTAGGGCTTAGGGCTTCAGAGACTCCGATATCCCTTACTGGAGTATACCTTACATCACACAGGGGATCCTACTGGATTTTCAGGTATATTAAGGGATATTGGAGTTTCTGGGTTGCGCTTCTTGGAGCACAGGGGCAGAGCACATTTAAACGAAACGCTGCAAGTGCATTTGGCGGCTCCTTTGCAGAGACAGCCGGCAGAAGTTCGCGCGGAAGCTTGTAGGCCGAAGACGGGAGAATACCTCAGAAAATCTCAGAAGCAGCCCAGGCTGTTCAGGGATCGCATTGCCAAGGGATTGCCGAGGGTACTGCCGAATGTCGACGTGGATCCCGCTGTGCATTTCAGGCTTTTCCAGCAGACGCAGAATGGCCTGTGCTGAAGCTTTCAGATGCCAAGCTTCAGCTTTTCATGTGCCATGGTCTCGCCTGACTGTCGAGCACAGAGGCAACGACGCCGACTGTCCTAAGCATGCAGCATCAGCAGCATCACGCCGTCCAAGGGCAGCTTCATTGACTTCAGGCTGGGCTTGTGGCACCCTTGGAGGGGATGGAACCCGACTCCTGAAACAGTCTCTTCATCACTCTATCCGCACACGACCTACATGGCAAGATGAGTGCTGGCGCACATGTACTTGAGTGGGTGACACAACACGCTTCGGATCAAGAACCAGGACCGCCCGCACACCAACCTGCATGTAGCGGTAGCAGTCACACCCGCGCTCATCAGCAACATCCAAAAGTGCGTGCACACCTCGGGCTGTTCAAAACTGGTCCCGAACGGCCTTGTCCGCAAGGTGCAGGATATGTTTGACGCTGCACGAGCCTGCATGGTGGCACAAGTCTGCTCGGGCATGAGACCGCAAGCTGTGCTCAACGAAAGGTTACAAAGACACACACGCAGAGCTCCTCGTGTCACAAGCATACACACCCCGACCTCGCTCCTTGGGACCCACTACGACCACAGCCTCCTGTCCGCCATGCTTGAACGCATGTCTCAAGCTTGCCGTTCTGAGACGTGCACACAAAAGTAGACATGCTCTTAGAGTGTTGCACTCCTGCGCTTGAACTGCTGGTGGCACTGAGAACAGGCTGCAGCCAGTGCCATCGCCCCCAGCTCGAACCTTGTGCAAGGACATCCACAAATTCCCAAGCATGGACATGCAGAGCCCGACGAGGTTTAGGCCAGAATCCCATCCAAGCGGGAGTCCCAGGTTTGACCTTGATGCCAACAGCAAAGCTTCCCAAATCCCAACCAGTACAAGGGAAGGGAGAGTAGCAGCTGAAAGGTTGACAACCTGCGATCGATCTACGAACGAAGCTGCAGCCCCATTTTGCCAGCCAGGTACTGAAAAGCCGCAGAGGAACCTCGTCGAAGCCCGCAACCTCGCCAAAGCTGGAAATCGCTTTAAATTCTTTGGTGCCAGAAGGATAACACATGCTGCCCTGCAATTCAGCCGGGTGGACTCCCTGGAGGGCGGAAGGGGTGGGGGGTTTCTTGTTTGCCGTTTCCAAACCCTGACCAAAATAGGTGGCCCCGCTATGAAGTCGGCGCCTGGTCTACAAAGTGCAGCTGGTACGCGGCCTGTTCCGTAGACTCCTGGACTGCACTCACTCCATATGTCAGTACAGTGCCTTTCGCGTTTTCTGTCCGTCACTCCTATCGTGTACTCGTTGCCTTTTTTTCGCCTGATTTCCTGCATCGGTCCCGTCTGCCACCAGGCTAAGGGCGAGTCGTTTACGCCCAGCACGCGATGCTCACTGGAGCTTTAACTAGGTCTAGCTGCCCACAAGTGCAACTGCTGGAATCCTTCTGGGAATGCCTGCCTGGTCCCTGCCTCAAGTCCCATGATGGAACGGACACCTCCCAGCCCTGAACTCGACCATGGAAGAGGCTGTCGGCGGCGGAGGAGGCAACCCCGACTGGGTGCTATCCCTTGACTCCTGGCCCATAACGAACCTCTCTTCGTCTCTCTCGCTCTCGCAGTCTGCCCCACTCCTGTTGCTTCTCACGTAGGGCCTCTTTTAGCTCCGTCAGCGCGGTCGTCGCCTCTCGATGGCAGAACTGCGAGGGCACGTCGTCAGACTACTTAATTTCCGCCTAACCTGAACACATCATACAGACACTCGTAAAGCCTTCGGGACATCCCTCAAGCCAGCTAGCTCGGGCCCCACCGTTCCAACTAAAATGCTGAAGTGGTTGAGGAGCAGTCGTGGTCTTGCCACCGTGGTCAAGCTGCCTGTCGAAACCCAAAGAGTTTCATCTACCGAGCAACTCGGCGACTCGGTTTCGCGTCTTATGGCTCAGACTTAGACTGCCTTCGGGCCAGACATCAGGCACAAGCCTTCGAGCTTCGATGGTAGCTGGACTGATTCAGACATTCAACCCTGCCACAAAAACACAGGACTGAACTTCGTCATGCCTGCCTTCATGGAAGACCACCGCTATAGCAAGCAAGCTATGTTTCTTAACCTGCAGGATTTTGGCTCGAGCATGGCAGTCCCGAGGGTCTGCATGGCAGGTTGTCTGTCACATTGTGGCATCGATCCCCCCTCACCCACAAGTTTGATGTCTTCAGAATTCCGAATATGCCTCTTGCCGGCAGTCTTTCTAGCCATCAACTCGCATGCTCTTGCCTTTGCGGGCACGTTCTTGTACAGGAAGGTCCCCAAGCTTTTACAGACCTCGCTTAACACTCTACACTTCGAATCCCGGGTACTCGCACACACGCTTCATGGGAGGCTCTGCTCAACTGCAAGACCGATCGACGCCAAGATGCATCTGACGCGGTTGCAGCCTGAGAGAATATGAGGAGGGATGCTGAACTGTCTAACTCTTGCATTTTCGTATTATGCTGGTTTGGGGACTGTTTCGGGCGTGTTCTTGGCTTTGTGTCATCCGCTCAGGGCAGTACTCCAAAACCGTGTGGACGAACTTGGCTCTGCTCGTGTGCTGCGAGTGTTCGGGACGCTTGATCAACACACTTTGGATGCCTGTGATATTAATCTCCAGGAGCGGTTGATGAAGCTGAGATAAGACAACGGGGCGATGATACCGCGATCGAAGATTTGCTGAGTCCATCACCAAGTCGGCGGTCAAGTTGCCTGAAATGCTGCAGGAAGCAGAGACCAAGTGCAAAATGGCCACTGCAATGCAGCAGCTTACACTGAGAGCTCCGCTGTCCGTTACAACTAATGCCTTTTCACAGATCTGGTGCACTGGCTTCCTGAGCTCGACACAGGCAAGAAGTCATGACCAAACACGCTCAATCGTAGAGCGCGGAAAATACTCTATGAGCTGAAAGAACCAGAGGACAACTGAGAGAGCAGAAGTCGTGGAGCTGAGGAATGGTTCAGGAGCTGGGCCCGCTGCAAGTTTGTTCCCTCTGGCACCATATTCCTGCATCCAGCTACTGTACCAGTGCACCGGCAAACGGTCCACATCAAACACAATGGGAGCCCTCTCCGTGCAGATGAGACGCATCAACCATGGCAGCCAGCTGCTAATTGTAACCGGCACAGCTTTGCCGAGCACCGTCACTCTCACCACGCCCGGCATAATGTACCTCGGCCGATCGACTCGGCACCGGTGCAGGGCCAGATTTACTCACAGATGCGTTTGCGTCTCTATGTCTCTCTCCCTCCCCAGGGCATGAAGAAGGCAGCGGTCTAGGCTTCTCTCTGTCTCTCTCTTTCTTTCGCCAGGGCTCTCTCTCTCTCTCTCTCTCTGCAAACCTCTGAGCAGGACAAGCCGATGTGGTCCGAGCTGCGGGACACGCTGCTGAAGAACAGGGCACACCGCCTTGATGACAGGACCTGGGGAGCCCAGGTCCGCAGTCCGGTCGGTCTTAATTTCAGCTTCCGGGGCTCTGACGTGCCACTTCGAACGTCTCGACAGGATCGTTCAGCATACACGCAGCTACCTCAAAAATCCCAACATGTGCAAGTTTGCAAGTCTCTAGAACATCTTCCCTCTCCCCCCCTGCCCTCCCCTGCCCTCCACTGCCCGCCCCTCGCCCCGTCCCTCGCGCCCTCGCTTGCTGAGGTGCGAACGATTTCATCTGTGTGGAAGTGCCTGCGCGCCTGCCGCGAGCAAGCACCATCTGATATCCCAGCCACACACGACGTCCCATTGACCTCCTCGAGATGGTGAGCAAAGATTTTTTCCTTGGGCCATCGGCTTCATGCTCAAAGAATCTTGGGTATCAAGGAACATGCATGGTCAAGGAGCAGAGAGCGTCCAGTCCAGCAGATCAGAAGTCCTGGCAACGGAGCACTGTGAACTCACTACTCTCCTCTCGAGCAAGCGTTCCATCGGTCACCGGAAGGAAGTCTTGATATGCTCTGCCCTACCTGTGACTCTGAAGCCCGGAAGTCTTGAAGGTGCGTGCACTGCAAAATCCCATGACGGCTGCACGCGGTCCAAACCCCACATCACTTGTACTGTCAAGCTAGTTCTAAATCGGGAGCCGCCACTCTGCATATTGCCAGCGAGAATCGGCACGAATGTGATCAGGAAGGGAAAAGTAATGATTGCAGCCTGGGTTCCATGGCAAAGGGAATCTGGACAAGAAACAAAGACACACAAAAGCGCTTAATTTGGCGGAGGTGCCCAAGCGAAGTAGAGATTGTACCTAAGGCTTGGGGACTTGCACGAGCGATGACAGTTGCAGACATTGCTAATTGGTTCAAGTGGCTGCGATGTTCTCAAATAGTTCCAGCGCCTCATGGCAAAGAAGCCATATGCCATCCTGAGCATCCACAGCAGTTTGGGCTGAAGGCTTCAGAAGTTGAAAAGTGCGCACCTGCCCTGGCAGCACCCGAGCAGATGGTGCTGTGGCTTCGGCTTCTCTGAGCACCCGGCGACATGAACAGGAAAAGCCTGACCCCACACAGAATGAAAGTCTACCGAGTCTACTTGCTGCTCCACCGAGTCCGAGCGGACTATGTAACACTGCCGGGTGGCATTTTGATGATGGCTTTCCAGGTAGTTAGGCCGGCGCTTTGCAACTGAATGGCAGAGAAGGTCTGCATCATAACCTGCATACAGGCGCAATCACCGCAGCCAGTTTGTTTGGCTCTGGGCGCAGCCTCTTCTGAGTAGGACAAGAAAGTTGCGTTCTCCCCGGTGGCATGTTTGTCCATGACAAACTTCTCATAGCCTGCATCTCGCACAAATCAACGCCGCATACTTACCGTCAAGTCCCCAACACCAATGCCAGATAGAGAGCTCTGCCACTAGTCGCTGAGGCTGAGTCTCGTCAGATCCACAGCTTTTTCCAGCTCCTCCGCGCTGCTCCGCGAGCGGAAATCTTCCCTTGGCCATGCACGGTTGGTCCCAAAGACATCCTTTGCGAAAGCCCTGCTGCTTTTCGGCCAAGGATCAGGGACCATGCAATGAACAAGCCTAGGAACACAACCTTGGCTGCAGACTTAAGGGCCACGTCTGCAAGATCCAGCATTTCTCCGTCATGACACACACACACACTGTGGAACGAAACACACTGGCCACTGAACCTCATGCTTGTCATTCTGCCGCAGCTGCTGCATGCGCAAATGTCGTCGTTGTGGAAATACTTCGACAAAGCAGGAAAGCAACGACACCGGAAGGCTTGGGTCTGAGTTGATGTTTGGGCGCATCGCTTCATGAGATGTTCAGACGACAAGAATGCAGGCCAAGCCGCAGTCATGATAATGTTGCTGCGGCCTTGCTGCACATACTGCGGCTGCCGCACATTGGCAACTATGCAGCCTATCAAAATTGCAAAGTGCTGAACAACTCGGAGCCACGGTAGAGCATGTAGTTGATTACCACCATGGAGGTCACGCCAAACTTTCGCACCCCATCCTCCTCTGACTTTGGACCTTTGCGAACTGCTACTTCCATCATGGCATCATGAAGGCAGATAGTTCGCAATGCCGAACTCTGAAACATGCTGGAGATGCACTTCAAAACAAACCCATCAGCACAAGGCCGTACCATATTCGCCGGATTCCGTTCCAGTCGAAGGTCTTCAGAAAATGCGACGGCCTGAGTCTTCACCAGCAAGGACCAGGCAGCTTTGATTTGCACAGAAAGACTCGAAGCTCCGGACAGGCTCAGCATGTACAAGAAGGATGCACGGAGCCAGCCGAAACGTCTGTCCTGGACTTGACGCAGGTGATGCCGGCACTTTGCAGCTGCACGTATTCTGGCATTGAGGGCCTTGTAGGTGGTGAACAAACCCGCTGGCGTGAACCCATATGTGCGCCACCTGGGCAGCTGATGACCCTGCAACATCAACCACACAGGAAGCTAGGCAGAAGGACTGCGAAGAGGGCAAAAGAGAGCCCAGGCATCCGGGCAAGAAGGGGCAGCCTGCTCCTGGATCAGTCTCATCCCACTCGTACTGCTCTTCCTGGGGATGCTAACACTTTTGGGCTTGGGCTGGAGCACAGGACCGGTGCATCATGCCAGCCGCTGCTAGCCAACAGCAAGCAGGCATGGCTGTTCGCTATTTTCTGCTCTGCTGTGCCCCCCTTTGGCTGCGATGGCTCCAGCGTGAAGATCAAACCTCGGCTTCTTGAGATTCTTGGAAACGGGATTTGGGCCTTTTGGGCCTGTTAAAGGCCCCGACCACTCCAGATATCTCCTTCTCTCCCAGTTGACAAGGCGGAGCAGCTCGAGGCTGATCTCCTCAAAGAGGTCTCGGCCGGAGTCTCCACGCGATGACGCGACAACGGATGAAAGCAGACAAGTGGCAGAAGCTTCGCGCCATCTGGGCCCGCGAAGAAAGTCGACCGCATCATGACCGAATGGGCCAGATGCTGCATAACGTGGACCACGTACTAGTCGAAGGTTGTACCTGAAGGCCGACTTGGCTCTACCTTCGGCTCTCCTCATTCAGAAACACAGCAATTCTTGGAGCCCGGACAATCGCTGCCGACAGATTTTGAAGGACGTGTATCCCATGCCCTCAGCTGCGGCGTGGCAGAGCGCGGACACTGGAATGGAACCACTCTGAGTCGTTGACCCCCAAGACTTCAATAAGTTCCAGCACTTTGGCGGCAGAGTCCGGGAGCTCGATGGAAAAAAACTCGGGCTTGGAAACAGCTCCATGCGACATCTTGATATCCTGAAGCTGCACAGACCAAGCACATCTCTCATGGTCAGCAAAGTCAGGTTGAAGCAACTTTGCATTCAACTTCGGGCCGGCGGCACTGGAGAGCTTACGAACGCATTCCACATCCAGCCCTTCCACGTCCACCTGCGTGTGTTTTCAGTCTGGTTGGCCGTATCAGGGCCTCCGGCCCACAAGCTGCAGGGTCATTTTGGCTCAACTCCCGTAGAGTTGATTCCAAGGCACCTTCATGTATGTGACCTTGGGGCTTCCATCAACTTTCCACCAGGTCGGTCTAGAACTTGTTCCTATTGAATGCCTTCAAGGTACGGAACGGCCGCGCGCGCAGTACCTGTGAAGCTCATCACAAGAGCCTCAGACTTGCCATGCCTTCTCTGAAAGATGTACGTGCGATCTAGAATACGCTCTGAGAGTTTGTGCACAGGGGCTGCTCTGGACCTGGATCTCCTCCAGCGCATGGAGGTCAACACCTCTTGCACATCCCTTGCGCATGGCACCATGTTCTCACATTTTCCCCGAGCCTGGTACGATGGTCGTGTTGAGGGAGCTCATGAGCCCCTGCCCGTGCCTGCAGCAACGACCCCTGCATCTCCTTCCACCGCGGTCAGTTCGTGCCTGTCGAGGAAGAGAGGGACGGTGGCCCCACCAACAGCAGTGACTGCCCGTGGCAGCACCTCGAGGTGGCCCTTGTGAGCAGCCTGCAGGGGGCCAAGGGAAGAGGATAGGAGGCATAAGGTGAAGCGTTGAGTTTGCAGCACAAGGTAGGTAAGACAGTTCTCCTCCGGTTTGTGGGACCATGAGGGTGATGGTTCGCCACCTCCGCTCCTTCCACCCCGGACCCCCTTCGCTTCGCAGGTGCAAGAGGTGTTTTACATGTCGTGGACCGATTTTAGTTATAGTGCTGCAGGGCATTCGGGCTTAGGGGTTTTGGGCCTTAGGGCTTTAGGGGCTTAGAGTGATGGTGCTGCTGCTGGTGATACTGGTGGTAGTGTGGGGGCTGGGGGCCTTCGGGGCCTTTGTTCGCCTGCGACATGGCCTTCCAAGCGTGGCTCATCATCCAGGGCTCTGAGGTAGCTGGGCGAGCGTCCACGGCCAGCACACGCATCTGCCGCGCCAGCATGTAGAGAGTGTCACCGAAGCCTGGAGCCATAATGAAGTTTCCAGCATCTGCTGGTACATCGAAAACACACTTAGCATACAGCTGAGTCTTGGTCTTTGTCATCCTGCGGGTCCGTGCTGGCAGACTTGTTCACATCAACTTCCTGTACCCGCCGACTAGCCTCTCATGAACCTTCCCGATTTATTTGCTGGGGGATTGGGCTGGCCTCTCCCACATCTTGCTTGCGGGGCAGGGTGCTCTTGTTTTGTCTACCTGTCTGCTGTCCTGGGTTTGTGTGAGCGCTGCAAAGGTACGGCAACCACGCCACAACACCAAAAAGGAGTCGTGGCCCCCAACAAGGCCTTCGCATCCTCGGAGTTGCGCAGTCTGCACACCCGCCTTTTCTACTGTCCAGTCTCAGCTTCCCAGCGTGGGCAAAGGTGCAGGGCGGTATGACACTTAGCCCACACTTGTTGGGAAATCTTTTTCTGTCATGCATTGTAAGTCCCCCATCATTTCCGAGCTCCTTTCCTTTCGTCTTGCTTCTATCGACCTCGAACCAAACAGAGAAAAAGAAGGAACCGAGCTAAGTTGACCTTGATCCAGTCAATCATAGCACTGTACTTTTTACAGCCCTTTCCCCACATGCTCCTCCTGCGCCGATGTCCAAGCTCGCTGTGGACCAGTTGAAAGCCTCACCGAGGTATGCCGGGAGATTTATGCTCGACCGGAGAAACGGGATCGGCTCCATCTGCGCAACGACATACTGCATCTGTCGGTCCTTGGATTACACTTGTCACATGATTGAAGAGCAAGCTGCTGTTGATCTGTCTTGGGCATTAGGGACAGCGTAGGCTTGTTTTCATGTCTGAATGCTGGGAAGTTGAGTCTCTGTGACACCGAGAAGTTGCCACCATTCCAACGAGGTGTGATCGCAGGCCAGCATGCCTGTTATTAGCGAGGCTGCCTCGCCAGAATGGACTGCCAGAGGGGCTGCTGATGCCCGAGACCTGCAGCAGCCACACCGGATCCCGAGGTGTCGCATCGAACTCTGGAGCATACTACAAGTATCAATACAGTAACTGGCAGAGAAAAAGAAAGCAACACTTGCACCTCCTGCGTGTGAGGTTTCTTGTGTTTTTGTTCAATCATCTGGGAATCTAAGTCATCCCGTCTCCGTCCATCACCATCATTCAGCATCTACGAAAAGCTCTTCCGAGCCACACGGCAGCGGCCACTAGAACCACGAAGGCAGCAGCGATTCGTCCAGCACGGCAAGCTTCGATGCTTCGCTCCTCGGCTCGGGCATGAAGCTCATCATGTCCACCTTTTCTCGCTTGGGACTTGGGACCCCTGCTGCTGCCCAGCTCTGCTTCAAGACGGCATCCGCGGCCTTTATCCTCAGGCATCAGCTCGGCATCGAGACTTTACAAGACCTGCACACTAGGCGAATCGGATCTCAGCTTCGGTCAGGTCGTGTCGCCCGATACAGTGCGCGCAGCCGTGGGACAAGCGAAAGACTCGCAGGAATTCCGCCCACGAGGGCTCCTCATGCTCTGATCACTGACTAGCATCTCTCCAGACACTCGAGCTATATACCTTTCAGCACCCTTCAAGCAAAAAACATGCAATCACGAACCAACACTTTTTTGCAGGCCAGCATCTCCGCAGCCACTGAAACACTGGTTGGCTGCCTGTGCAAGCTAAACAACATATCTAAATATGACACTCAACTACGAAAACTACTTCCGTCCTTTCTGCGACCATACAATCGCAGCGGTCTCGTGACCTGGCAGCAGCTTGCGTACCTTCGGGGCAATCGGGCTGGTAGTTGGCTAGCTGCAGCATTCAGTGACAACCTGCTAACGGCCGTGCTGACAGGCCACGACCTCTGACGGAAGCACGACCGTGGCTGGCAGCTGGACATGCACAATCGGTTTGTCGTGTCATACAACCTGAGGATTGCGTGCGTAATGGCTCTGCAGGTGCAAAATGGCAAACCACACTTCTCAAAAGCTTAAGGTGGGCAGTGCAAGCTACTGCAGCCCGGCAAGGCAGCACGCGTCAAACGGCTGCGTCTCTGAAAAGCAGCTGACATTGCCCCAGGCCACGATATGGGACTGAGAAACCATTCATCTGCTCTCCGGATTGCATCCAGTTGCAGGAGCCTGAAAACCGGTAACCACTCGCCAAGACCTTGAAGGTTGTCAAACCCATTTTCGAAACAATGAGGATCGGGCGCAAGGTGCAAACTGAAGAACCCGGTAGTGTCACTGTGGGCAAGATTGTCGTGCTTGGTGTGTTTGAATTATGTGTAGTTGGTTTGAGCCATATCTTTGCGATCGTGATGATGTGAACTCATGTACTCCGCATGTGCGTAGCTTT